GATGTTGTTCGTAGGACACTTCGGAGTATGTCTGATAAATTTTAGAATGACTCTACGTCATAATTTTTTTCTCTGGACTAATTATTAAATATAAACGCCGCTTTTATACACATGTTAAAGTAAATGAGTGCCGTAATGGTCGTTCCAATGGAACGTGCTACGTAACTACGCGCACGTTCAAACATGGACGCCGCGAAAACTTAGTCATTTTAACTTCGAAATTTCATAATACCCTAGTTTCAGGAAGAATACGTTTATTAACGATGGAACTGAGTTTATATGAATATCTCGCGTTCTTACTTCACGTGCATTTTACCGTTTTAGGTGAATCTTCCTATATAGTTACAATTCAAAGAAAGTGGCAGCTAAATAATCATCTAATTTTATCGGATACTGTAAGTTTTTGTACATATATCGAGAAAAGACTGTAAATTATTGTCGAAAGACTGGTTTTTGGTTTTTTATATTGCTTATTTTGTAGCTTAAACTAGAAAGTAAATGTTTACTGTATCTGTGGTATACTACGCACGTTCTGGTGCGTTCTATAATGCATTTTAGACAAGTTTCTAAAATAAATTCATCCAAGTCTGAATCAGGTGTTTTTTGTTTACAAAATAAGGAGGTACATAGCCGGGAAATCTTTGAGATTAGTTTGTAGGTTCTTGAACATCAGCAGTTACATTTTGATCAAACGAAAACTTTTGAAGATCCTGCAGATTTCTTGATATTTGTCTTCCACCTTCTTTGGCGTCATAACGAAATTACCTTGATGCCATAGGTAAGTTCCGAATTCCGAGTTCTTGCCAAAAAACCTGCGATATTGAGTGCCTGTTATTTTATGTTATGCTCGGACAAAAACCAAATTTAAGCCTTAGTAGCTACACATCTTTTTTGGTCTTAGCGAGCTGCGATGATGCTGACAGTAGACTACGTGACGATAATGTCATGAAAATATCGAATGAACCTACTTTAGAATGAGATTAACTCATCTTCCATACCATTGAATTGCCACACGAGATACGAGGACCATTGTTTAAAGTAAGAACCGTTTTGAAAGTCAGAGAAACTATTTATGAATGTAAGTTGTATCACAAACTAAAACATGCACGTTTTTTAAATTTTTCGTCATAGTCGCGTTTAAATATTTGCCAATTCGTGCCACCAGCTCGTGGATTCCGACGTTAAAGAACGCTGCCGCCTGATCGTGCAACCAGTTAGTAACTGTTTCAATCATTTTTCAAGCGCTTTCCACCAAAATTTTCTAATTTGGAAAAAAATGCAAGTGAACGTGCGGGCTGTATGGTGGATGATTTAGTAATTCCCAATTAAACTTGTCTGTGTTCTTCTTGCCGCGCGTTGTCGTGAAGCAGAACGATGCCGCTAGAGTGCAGGCTCCGCCGGTGGTTTTCAATACCGCTCCTAAGCTTGAATAATGTATTACAGCACCTCTCAGTATATCATGGCTGTTATGTAAAAAACGACGAAATATCATCTTGCAGACTAGGTAGTTCTAAGCGTGAAATTAGTTATTCCACGTTTGCTTGTTATGATCACTGTTCGAATGAGTTCACAAGTGTACAACACAGCTTGTGCTGAGTTAATATCTTGTAGAAAAACCTACGAAATGCCAAAAAAGCTTCGAAATGTTAAAAAAACCGACGAAATGTCACTTTTCAATACCCGTGCGGTACTTACTTTGAAATAGCCCTCATAAGTGTACGCGTTTGTCGTAAATGCAACTTTAGCGCTTGGTGGGCGATTCAATCCTCTCCAGGGGTCAATTTTTTAAAAGAAGGAGTAGAGGAGTAGAATAATTGATAGGAAGTGGGCCAAAGTCCTTATCTCTTTTGATTTCCATGTGTACGAGAGAGAGAAGTGTGCAACATGTAAATTAGAAAAGAGAAACCACGTTGTCTGGCAACGACAGTGGGGGAGGAGCTAATAATAATAATAAACCGCTTTGTTGACGGAGTTTAGCAAAGCTATTCTTACACTCAACCTTGTTACAGCCGCACTTCGCTCCCTGCTCCACTGTTGTTGCCAGGCAACTTTGTGACTATGCTTATTGGGCGCGATAGGGCGCACTCTTTCTAACACGCTTCTCTCTCTCTCTCTCGTACTCATGGAATTGTAAAAGGGAAACCGGTTTTGGCCAGCAATGTATATCTATTAAATACCCTAACACCCCCAAAACTTGTAAACCACATATCATTTTTTGGAAAAAAGGTTATGAAAAGGTTTCAGTTTTTGTTGATTACTTCAAATATGGCCTAGACAATGTCCGCTGAGGTCATTTCGAGGTGAAATTTGCAAACTCAAATAGTAACCTCCATTTGAGACAGCAGATTCGTGTTCAGTTAGAGATTCTACATCATAGTGCTTATTCATACATGAGGCCAAGTAGTCATGAGTGGTCAATCAGCATGAGCTACTGTGATGCCCGAAAAGTAAAGAAACACCCCGAAAATGTGATGTGTGCTGATTGAACCACTTATGACCGCTTGACCTCATATATGAAAATTAACTCTGCTGTAGAATCTAGAACTCGAAACGAACCTGCTGTCAAAAATGGTGGTAGGTTATTCGAATTTACAAAGTTGACCTCCAAATGACCTCTGATGACATTGTCTAGGTTAGGGCTGTCCAACTTAATGTGGCCCAAGGGCCACTTAAAAAAAAATGCAGTTTGGAGGGCTGCTATTTTGTAAGAGGCGGCAATACTGTTAATGTAAGAATTGTGCATATTCGGTATTCGAGAGTAATTTATACATGTGATGTATACATGACCCGTGAAGCGGGCCGCAAGAAAGGAGTTCGCGGGCCGTATGTTGGACAGCCCTGGTCTAGGTCATATTTGATTTCATCGATAAATTGCTGTTCCGATGCCCTGTCTCTTCTCTCTTTTTTTTCAAAAAATTCGTGGTTATCAAGTTGTTCTGGTATTTAATATAATTGTTAATGAATTTGCATCCATCAACTTGTTTGATGAAAGTCAAGAACTGCCAGAATTTGAGATCATTTCTCAAAGAGCATTCTTTTTTTACACCCAAGCAGCGGCGTAGGCAGAAGTTTAAATGCCAGGGTACCGCGGCTGCTATGAGGAGCTTAAAGAAACTTTGTTAATCAGATTTTTTAACTACCTAAGGTTAGTAGAACTGGAAAAAGCCCCCCAATGTACATACTCTAGGGACAAAGGAGCGCTCGTATCGGCCAGTTCTGGATGTGCGAAGTTCTACAGGGCTAGTATGGGGAGGACGAAGACAGGCGGGTCTGTCTGGCAGGCAGATCACGCGGAGGCATCATGGAGAAAAGGTCTAACGGGCAAAGACCATTGGCGTAGCGGTAGAGGACAGCCAGATCGTCGGCGCGAAAGGGTCCCGAGACTGTTCGTTAGAGAAGAATCATCGATCAGTCGGAGAGCCCTCCTCTGTACAGCATCGAGCATGCGGGGCGGCAGCACCCTAAACATGTGAGCAATAATCGAGGCTAAGTCTTATCTGGGTCGTGAACAGAGTGAGGAGGTCATGTGGAGAAAATAACTTCTTAGCCCTAAACAAGCAGTGCCGCTATTGGCTAGATGTGTTCATACCAGATCAAGTCCTTGTGGTCTGGACCCTGACTAGCCGAAATGGTAGAACTCGGCCATCCATCGAAACCGGATTGTCGCTAGAACGCTTCTTGTTCATCAAGGTACAATATTGCGTGGGAGCATTAAACTGTACAAGATTGTCTCTCGTCAGAGAGATAGTCGCTGAATGTCTTCTATCCTACTGCGACAGAGAAAAGCTCTCCTGGTGCTTTAAGTTACCTTGAAAAGCCTGTGGTGTGACACTGCTGTATTTAGGCAAAAATAGATACTTCTCATTCTGTATATGAAGATGAAGTTATTTTAGATAAGGCGCTGCAGTGCCTACATCCTGATGTTTGGTCGATTCTACCACCTGTTGCCGTCAAACTTCAGTCACCTTAATCATATGGTATTATTGACAAAACATTGTGGTCTGAGGCAAAGTCGTATACCGAATTTACACTCCTCTTACATTATCCAACATGGCAGAACGAATTATCCCTTCGCCAAATACATTGGTCAAGTATGATAACCCTATATTGGTTACTAAACATCCACAGACAGCACCAGTAGTAAGTACCCCAGGATGTTTATCAAATGTAAAAAAGAGTAGTTGGAAAATTCGGACAGCATCTTTTGAGTCAAATCTTAGCACATACTTTGGTTTATCTGGAGGATAAGTCCAGAATCACATCAAGGGATACCTATTTTTTGTACAATTTTCTCTGTAAAAAACTTGTAATCCCTCAAATTTTAGTTTTTTAGCTTCTAGATTTGGAATAACGTAAGATAATTTTTCCAATCCAACATATTATGTTGATGTCCCATGCTAGTCATAATTCGAACCAAGATTTAAGGTGCATATCCACAATGAGATTTTTTCATGATATTTGTTTCTCGTGAAGTAACAATCTCATGAAAAGTATTATTTGAGATAATCTCATGAAACAATGCCTCGTGAGAGCTTAATCTCTTGTAAAAGTTTTAATGTTTAGATATGTTTAGGGCATTTAGGATTTTATTTCACTTGCTGCACGTGAGCTACGTAGTTATATTGTGAATAAATGTTGTGCTTACGAAATGATTGAAAAAGAAAAAATCTAGTTTCAATTGGACTAGAACCATGATAGTAAAGTTAATAGAGTTATATGAATCTTATCCCAATTTGTGAGACTGCTCGTGAGAAAGCTATAAAAATAGAAATATGAGAAATCAGCCATGGACAAAAACTGCTCAGCTGCTGGAATTCTCCTTTCTTAATCCAATCTCTCACCCAACATTTGTGAAGCCTTTTGTTTAGACTACGGGACTTGACAGCAACATAATAATAACAAGCAGCCGCTTTTCTTCTATGCTCTTTTGTTGGCATCTTTAACCCGCAATTATTTGATTATGATCGATACTTGTATGATGTACTTTTCTGTTTCTCTCACGTAGGTACTGTGGAAACAGTTGAGCTCAGATACACTGTCTCATGTGAGAGCAAACATTGCAAGTAGCATAACTCGAGAAATTCTTATGTTCTGTGGAAACACATCCGAGATAAATTTCTCATGACAAATATCTCTTGAGATTTTAGTCTCTTTATGTACGCTTAGCTTTAGGATAAGTTGCATTTGCTTTTTGCATTTGTTGTATTAGTCAACCCTTTAGTTCAAAATGTTGTTGAGTGAAGTTGTTTAAAGACAAGTAAAAGTATTTGTGAAACAGGCCCCAGACTGATATTTTAGGAGGATGGACCGAAAAAATCTACATTGACTGGTAGTGACCTTAAAAGAGAGACTGATGAGATTTTGAATACTATCTTACCGCCTCGAGAATGGGAAGAAGATGGACAGCAATGGCGACAGAGTGTGTCTACCACACCTGCTACAAGATTGGATGTGGTCAATTTACAAGAACAACTGGATATGAGGTTACAACAGAGACAGGTAGGTTGCTTTAGTTCTTAGGCAAGATACGTATACCCTATTTCACGAGTACCAATCACGGTAGAATGACAGCCAATTACCTAGTAATATCTAAAAATTCCCCATATCGGCAAAGACACATCATTCTGACGGATCCGTCAATGCCAGGTAGACAGAGCCATATTTTGTTTTGTTTTTTTTGTACGTTACAGATTCATTTTGTACTTGCTAAAAGCTCTTTTATTTAGAAAAGTTCATTTGCATTACAAAAAACAAAACGTCACAAGCACAAGTTTTGCTAGAGTTATACCCGATTCTTTATTGCCATCGTAGCAGACTGACACAAAAATGTCACTTGCTGATCAGCTGTTCACCTCGATAGACGTCAAAACGTGATAGATACTCGTGAAATAGGGTATATATACAGTTTGAAATTCTTACCTCAAAATCACAATAGCCTGCTAACAATGCAATTCATTTTAGATTCACCATGTTCAAAGCGATTATGTTATTGCACATTTCTCAAATATATCATTTATACAGATGAATCAGCTTTCATCATTATTTAGACCTGTATAATGTAATGGCCATGTAGTTGTGTATCCGTACCATCAAGAACAAGAAAACATGTAAACAGACACTATAATCGTATCGTGAACTATAATTGTACCATGTTCCTTTGATGCTATTAATCTAGCCTTATAAGAAAAAATATATACAGAGATGGTGACTTAAGACTTTTTTTGGTATGTATTTTGATACGTTTTTTTAGGCAAGAGAAACTGGAATTTGCCCTATACGTAGAGAGCTGTATACACAATGTTTTGATGAACTAATTCGTCAAGTTACAATAAATTGCGCAGAACGAGGACTTTTGCTACTTAGAGTTCGAGATGAAATGAAAATGACGATTGAAGCATTCCAGGCGCTGTACTGTAGTAGTGTTGCCTTTGGTAAGTATTTTTTCTCTTAAGTTATAGCATGTTATCTCTAAATGCAGATGGTGATTGAGAATGATTGCACTCAAATTTAATCAATCGAGACATTTCTAAATTCTTGTAAGCTCACTCTGCGATGTAGTTTTATCGACTCCTTTGGACAGTTTTATGGAATGATCTATAAGAGGAGGCTTTTCTCAGTTCAACTAAGCTTAGGCAGTTCAAAAATGGGATCAACAAAGTCGCTATGATCCTCATAGCAGCCTCGGTGCGCTGGCATTTAGGCTTCTGCCTGCTCGGCTGCTTCGGTACAAAAAAGCCATTGATTTTCAGGTATGAGGAAAGCGTTGCAAGCAGAACAAGGTAAATCAGATCTCTTCCAGGCCGTAGAGATTCTCAAAAATGAAAAGCAAGACTTAGAACAACAAATTACGGAACTGAAGCAACGAGCTGAACAGGCTGATAGAAGAGCTGCCGAAACTAGACTGGCTGAAGAAAGAAAACATACGGAAGAAATTGCTTTCTTGAAGAAAGCTAATCAACAGCTTAAGGTAAGAACACTAAGTGTGGGTCCATATTTCGAGCCTAGCGCGTTTGCGACGACGGGCACGAAGTATCAAACATTATGAAACGCGCCTGTACGTCCATAGTGCAGTGACTGAGGCTGAACCTTAGGGCGACGGGACTTAGCGAGACAGCGCGCATAGTTTTCAAACGTTCCTGTTTCGCGCTTTCTGGCCACACTACGGGCCTAATCAGCAAGCGACCTAATGCGCGGTGGCGGCGGTAACAAACCAGTTCGCTCTTGTCGCTCGGCGTATGCATGAGTATTATTGTACTGTAATAGCAGACTGTCTAGTAAAAATACCAAATCGTCGTCTATAATTTGGAACTTCTGATACGTCGATCCAGTGATCGCGTGTCACCGTGGACACCGCAAGCCGCCGCTCATCGCGCCCACCTTAGGCCCCAGTCACCGCGCGTTCAGTATGGACGCACACTAAGGATAGTCGTTCGTTAATTTTACCGGACTATACCCGTTAATCCACCTTCGGATGGGCATCAACCTCTCCTGTTCGTTGCATTAAAGGAACTTTTTACGATTTCAACATAAACGTTTCTCAAAATATTTAGCAAGGCATAACCACAGTGATTCGAAATTTGATTCGTGATAGCAAATGGATATTAAACTTTTCCGCGAAAAAAACTACTACTTTTTTAGCAAAAGGACTCTAATTCCTAGGCTCTCCGAATTGGATCCAGAAGGCAAGCCAAGGGAAGCTTTGAAATTATATAAAAAAGGTGGGCCTTAGGACAGTCTAGAACTACTTTCAATTATATCAGAAATTCCTTCCAACTCTCTAGTATTGACAAGGGTCGAGGGAAATTACGGCGAATTGTAATTATACTGGACATTAGTGGGCTTCTTTCATTATTAAAGTGAAAATTACTCACAATGTTGAGCAAGAGCAAGTACCAAAAGCTTGTTCATCATTACTGGTTCTCCTTAAACGCGAAATTTGATTTGTCAAGGGATATTAAATCTTTCCAGCAAAAAAAGCAAACTTTTTAGCAAAAGGAGTCTAATACTACTGGACTAGTTTGAATTTGATTCAGAAGGCATGTCAACAAAAGCTTTAAAATGATTTATAGAAAAAGGTGAACTCGTTTCTTTAATTCATGGAGAAAATACACAGACTAGAACTACTTTCTAATATTTTCGAAATTACAAAAGTTATTTTATTTCAGGCTCAACTGGAAGGAATAATCACCCCGAAGAAATAAAACACCAGCTAAAAACGTATATATTTATTAAAATTTAAGTCTCTTGTTCCAAAGCACTTCAGTTATATTGTCCTTACATAACGCTAGGAAACCCTAGGCAGCCAAATACAGTGTAAAATTCATAATAATAAAAAATATGACAGCTGCCAGTATTTTCCGAATAGAGATATTATACTAAAGCCTTGGATAAAAACATTCATATACATCGACATTGTTCAATAAAATACATAAAATATGTACTATTTAAATATTTTGTACAATAAAAAATAATTTAGAAATTACTTTCTTACATTAAATGGTTTTGTTAGTTAAATTTATGATATAAAAGAACCCACACACCCTGGTGAAACAATGTGATGTCACTTAAAAAAGAATAGTGAAAAATTGGAATTGGTACAAAAAATCTACCAAAAATGTCTATACGGACAGAGAAATTCATTAAGCTGCTGGTATTCTGAGTGACTCGAAATTTATCTAACAAATAACTCTAAGCTCAGACCAAATTCAAGGCACTCTTAAACATGAATTCCGTATATTAAAAAACTGATTCTGATTAGTTTGGCACTTTGAAGGGCAACCTGCTTGCTTCATATTGTCCTCAAATATCAGTCAAACTTAATTTCATATCAATCCGTAAAAATGCAGCTATCAGTCTAAATACTAAAAAGACATAACAAGCAGCTTGCTCTTTTATAACAAATTATTTATACTTTAATCCTCAACTTTACATTTTTTGTGTTAAAGACTGAGATTTTGAAACAAGGCTTTATTACGTAATCTTGCACCACAGTATTAAAAAAAAAGATCAAATCACTCAAAATTCCCAGCCCAAAACAAAGCAATAAAAGATCCATGGCAAAATCAACCCTAATGTTTTCCTTTCTTCTGTCGTTTTCGCCGTCTCTTTTTACCAGTACCCCCTTCCACTGCATCTGTAAGACTTCTTTCCTGATCAGTAGTGGGAGTGGGAGGTTCAGAAACGCTCTCATCATCCTGTTCTTCTTCTTCCCCGCCCTCTTTTGACACCTCCTTTTCTGGAGAACTGGGCGTGTCCACCTCAGTGGAAGGAGTGTCTACCTCAGCAGAAGGTGTGTCGACTTCCATAGCGGGCGTGTCCAGTTCTTTGGTGGGCGTGACAGAACTGCCGTCACCGTTGGGCATCGCTGCTTCTTGATTGGGTGTCGTCAGCTCCAATGACACGATTTTTTCTTGGATTTGTTCTACCTGTGGAGATGCGAGTTAGTATGGCGTGATGGTGAAAGTTATAAGGCGGATTATATGGGTTGTGTCATGTGCTGTGGATTATTTATTTTATGACAGATTGATTTTAAAGGGGTTATGGTGATGTCAGTAATCCATCTAAATATTTTTCCATGAAGACGTTAACAATACTATGAATATTAATGGAAATTTCCATAGCTAACTCAAGCGTCTTTTCAATGTCTAGATTGAAGCAAGGCTGGTTAAAATCTTTTTGAAAAACTGGTTCGCTTAAAAACGACATTGAATATAAAGGGTAAGTATAAATAGTAGAAATTTACACCAATATATTTTAGGTGAAAGGTGTTTTGGGTTTTAAGTGGTTTTATATACAGTGTGTTTTAGCGTTAAGAGTGCAATTGGTTGTCATTGCTAGAAACTATTGCTTTGGTGAGTAGCTCAGCTTGAAAGCAAAAAGCTGTGCCATATGCCGAAGTTTTTTTACTTTAGGCTTCCCGAAATATTTACATCATACAGTGTGAGTCCTAAAGAACGCACCAAGCCGATAAAAAATAATTTAGAAAAGGTGATATTTAAAGGTGAAGACAGTTGCTATGATGTATTCTACGAGGGGACACTAGTCATGAAAAAATAACACTTGAAACGCACAAGCACAAACCCTTTTTCACGAGTATCCGTCACGGTAGAATGACAGCCAATTACCTATTAATATTTGAAAATTCCTCATATCGGCACAGGACACATAATTCTGACGGATCCGTCAACGCCAGGTAGACAGAGCCGACTCATTTTGTACTTGCTAACAGCTCTTTTATTTTGAAAAGTTCATTTGCATACAAAAAATAAAACGCCACAAACAAGTTTTATTAGATTTATACCCGATTCATTATTGCCAACCTTGCAGACTAACACAAAAATATCACTTGCTGATCAGCTGTTCACCTCAGTAGACGTCAAAGCTTGATGGATACTCGTGAAATAGGGTATACGTCAAATAGAGACCTGTGTTCTAACCTTACTTTCAAAATTTGTTAATTTTGATAGTTTCCCACTCATAAAGTGAATTGTGAAGTAACTTAAAATTAGATTCATAACATTTTTGACAAAAGAGGACCATCAGCCGAAAACGATTTTTGAAATAATTATTGCCGTTTATGGGGATGATGCACAATCATATGACAATATAATGTTGGTCGACAGATTCGATGGGATCGTGAATCCATAGAAGACGAACTCAGAAGTGGAAGACATAAAGCAGCAACACGTGATGAAATGGCACAAAAAGATGAAGTCATGGTTCTCGAAGATCGTCGTACGAAGGTCTCTACCATTAGTATGGTATTGAATATATAGGAACCCAGCGTAGTAATCATCTTGGACGCTTGGACGTCAATTTGAACATGAGTAGGGTGTCAGTGTCCATGACTGTTGATACCAGAACTCAAATTGCGCAGGATGGACTCTTCAGAAAAACTTTGACCAACGATTCTGACTTTTTGACACAACTTGTGACCGGGAACGAGACTTAGGTGCATCATTTGGATCCAAGAATCCAAGCAGCGGGTTTATAAATTGTCTCCACCGCACAAAAAGGCACGGAAAATTGATGACGACAGTTTTTGTGGGATATCATTCTCATTGAATATGTGTAAAAAGGGACAACAATAAATGAGGACGACTATACAAACACGCTGAAAAATTAATGTAAAGCAATGAACCAGAAAAGACCGGTTTTTCCAATCCAGAAGTGTTTCTGCGACCGTGTATAAGGCTGCCAAAATTAGACTAATTGTGTAGGAATGTAGCTTTACTAAGATAGACCATCCTCCCTATAGTCCGAACATCTCTCCATATGATTTTATCTTTTTAGATTACTAAATAAAAATCTTTGAGGATGCCGTTTTGACTCGGATGATTTACCTAAAATCAGCCGTCGACGACTTTTTTTGGGAGTCAAGAGGAAACATTTTTTAAAATGATATGGAGGAGAAATGGCGCGAGTGCTTTGATGTAAGGGGGATATTAAAGAATAAAATTATCTACGTCTTTTGTTTCATAGCTAGGTAGATTTCTTTTCTAGTACCCCTCGTATATACTCACGCCGTGTATATTTAAAAAATATAGCTGGAGATTTAGGACAGAGTCGAAATTCGATAGCGTAGAAAGTTACAGTTGTAAAATTAATAAAAAAGTCATCTACCAATAACACTCTTTGAAATGATTTTGTTTTTAGGTGACAGTGCAACTCCTTTCCAGAGTTTCTAGAGCTACTGTAGTGGAATTAATATTTTGCATAACATCTGTACAAAAAAATATTGACTGAACTTTGTAATTCGTGGTCATTCCAATACGAAACAGTTTGCACTGCAAATTACATTCTATTATCCAAGTTATTTTTTTTTAATTTAGAAATAAAAATTTGATTTTTTGTTTTACTATAATGCACTGCTTCATATGGGAATGATTTTATATATTCGAAATAAATCCACCAAAATAAGTCGTGAGTCTACAGTTTATTTAAAATCAATATAATACAGACAAACTGATACAGTAAAATATCCATCACAAACATATAAAAAATAAAAAAATTAAGTATAATTCTTGCATCAAGAGTATCTCTTAGATGCTATAAAATAAAATTATAAAAAAAAAATATATCTTGTGCATATAAAAATAAATGCAATCCTTGCATCGTGAAAATCCAAACCATAGCACTACTTGGCCATGCAGAACAGCTTTTATAGTTCAGTAAGTATGTCTATTCTTTGGGATTTTGTAATAGAACTTTTACGTAAACCACCCATGTTTTTTCAGACACCAAATGTAACCACATGCCGAATTGACTGTACTAACGCTTCAGCCACCTCACTGGTCTGTCCTTAAAAACATAGAGATTTATCAGCATGAGAACCACAGGACAGTTTTCAGATGTTTCATCACTTTTGTTTATTTGAGAAGAAATTTCTTGCGGTAAAACATCGTCAAAATTCCATTGATGATTTTTGGACAATGCACTCGATGTTAGTAAACCATTTTATCAAGTTTCTTGGTTTTTGAACTGAACTACTAAACCTGTTCACATACCACACCAAAATGCAGCCCAAAAGCGGATCTGCATATCCGATAGCCAAACCTTAATGCTACATGTCAACGTACATGACATTACAGACCAGGAAACTGACTACCATATTGTTTTCTTCATTTCAACGATTTCAATTACATTTCTACAGGACCCGTATGAATCACGCAACTGGCGGGCGGTAACCTGATGCAAATTTGTTTGGAATATTTAAAAGTTACAAAAATGTTTTTTTGCTCCTGAAAAAGCTTTTTTGATCAATATGAACAAAAAAGTCCTTAGTAAACTTTTCTCTAAAACTAACTGTTTTTCAGTTGTAAGTTTGAAAAACCCTAAAAATTACGACTTGAAAATTAAGCTAAAAACTATCACGTTTGAGGTTTCGCAAGTATCTAAATCAAATCGTAAACCTTCCCGAAGAGTATTTTTGGGTTAGTTCATTTAAAAGCATTGCTATTTAATTGTTAATAACATGCTATGGGCTAAGTGTGGGTCCTTGTAGTACAGATTAATTCCGTATTAAGTACCAATGCTTTCGAATAAATTAAACTCAAAATTTTATACAGGACCTTGTATGGGAAGGCTTAAACTTTGATTTAACCAATTGACGACCACAAAAATAATAATTTTTCATCGAGGTTTTAACCATTCAAAATGGCCATATTTATGGTATTGTAGACATTAAATCGCTGTAATTAGGAAACGACCAACTTTATAGAGAAGTTACAAAGGACCTTTTGTATTCAAAATGAGCCAAACAAAAACTCATAAAAAATGGAGGCCGGTTTTCCGCTCAATATAATTTTAATAAAAAAGCAAATCCAAGTTTGTTTCATGTATATACGTAGCAAACCGCAAACTCTAGGCTGCTAGCTACTGCAAGGTACTTGCGGTCATTCCTCTGGACACCGCAGCATTTCCGGTGACCTATACTAGTTGCAATACCCAACATTTCCTAACAGTATCTTATAAGAATATTATATAATGTGTTCGTACCATACTACAGGTATATCTCGATGCTCCCTTAGCTTCCCTCGGATCTGCCAATGCTTACCACCCCCCCCCTCCCCCCATTAAGTTTTGCAAATACGCGCAAACTGATTTTAGATTCGGACTCAGCCATCTCAAAAGTGGTAGATTTGTATTCCCTGAATTTTTTCGATTTGACCTTCAAATTATCTCGAAACGCCATTCGAATGACCTGATATGGGCAAAGTGACCTCAGATAGGGACTTGGTGACCCCAAAAACGTATAGGCATAACAGTTAAGTGCCAGATACCTGATTTCATATACAACTACAGACTACATACCACTGACGTCGTAACATGTGTGCGAGAGGAAAGCACGAGAAGCGTGTAATACGTATGTTAGAAAGAGGTAGAAGCACCACGTTGCCTAGCAACTCGAGTGTCGAGGCCATGGAAGCAGATGCGGCTTGCACGTCGATGGCAACGCCTGCCATCGGCACAATTTTTATACATATTGCACGCTTCACGCGCTTCTCTCTCTACCACACATTACCTCGTCCATGGCATTTGGATTTCTCTGTATATACAATAAATGTGAACGTATGTCCAGAGTGGTCAGCATCAAGTCTAAACAACAATACGGAGACACGTAAAAATTGTGTATACTCACTAACCGAAACCCAAGGAAGATTATACGCGATAATATACAGGGTGTTCCAAAATATATCGAAAAATACGGTTCCTACAGAAAAATGTAGAACATAGTTGTGAGGTGTGAAAAGTTTCAACAATTATCATCAATGGTGATCTTGAAATGCTCTTCAAGACATTTGAGGGTTAAATGAAACCCATATTTTTACACCGGATATGTAAAGAGTGGTGAATTTTACTTTAAAATGTCTTGGTTCATGACCATCATGGGTATTTGAGTGCGACCAGAAAGTAGAGAAACGACAAAATATCTCGAAAAATACGTTCCATAACATAATAAAGTTGCAAGGTTTGACAAAATAATGGTGAACTTGAACGTGGCACCGATTATGACCTTCAAACTTATTTGACGGTCCAGATTTGATTTCTTTAAACGAAAACCCTATTTTTGACACCGGAAAGAAAAAGAGTAAGGCACTTTATGCTCAAGTATGTCTGAGGTCGTTTGAAGATCAAATAGATTTTTAACGGGATACATTTATTTCCATTTCGGAGAATTAAGTTTAAGTATATCCCTTGCCAATGAAGCTGACCATGACCTTTGAGGTCAGATAAATTTTCGAGTAAACGCCTTAGTTTTTGTCGATGATATAAAAAAGCGAAATATTGAAATTAATTTATTGTTGCATTGTTGGATAAAAAAATGCCACAGTAACTATTGCATTACATTGAATATTGCATTTTTTCTGCGAACCCAATCTCCTTCACACTAATGCAAAACGAATGACCTGTACTTTACACTACTTCCATGCAAGAGTAGCCGCAGGTTTAGTCTAGTACTTCTTAAACTTATAATGAATGGCTTATTCGAAACCTCACCTAAAACTGACCTTCATCCTGGCCAGGAAGATGTTCCAATAAGTGCCGTTTGTGATCAAATCGCTTAGTTACTTTATATACATAAAAAAAAACTTGGTTTTTCTTTCTTTGATCCAAATTGTATTGGGCTGAAAACCGGCGCACGATGGGATAAAATGCGTATCTAGCTGCTCAAAAGTCGATCAATGTATGTGGAAGCATGTTCCCCTTTCAGAGAAAGATCAAAACAAGACGTTTTAACTGGATAAGTGCCCTTTGCACCATTTAATGAACAAATATCACTTTAAAAGTAATTTTGATAACAATCACGAGTGAATGTGGATGCCAGTGGAAAGAAAGATCTCTTATCTAGGTACTTTTCCTTCTTTATTTAACATTTTCTAAATGAAAATGTTGGGGGAAGATATGTATAAAGTTTTTTTGAATTTCCAATTTGCATAGGGTTGTCTTATACATTTATGGACTGCCATTTCTACGGAACCTAATGGATTCTCAAAAAATGAAATAGTTTTGTGTTCTTATGACCTTTTTAAAGATTTACAAAAAAAAATGAATGGTTTTCTAAAGGTTTGACAGAATTATATTTTCCTGGGAGCATATTAGATTATGTACCTACCATAATATACCAATATTGTGCATTTTCGGAGAAATACATCCTTTGTCAATCACACAATAAATACTGCCAATGTTGAAGGGGTAGTTTTGGATCATAAAAGTCCACTTCACCTTTTTTAGAATGGTCTCTAATGACAATTCCCATTATTATTTTCGAAAAATGAACATTTCTAGACTTTTGAACAGCCTAATTCGCGATTATAAAAAAAAAACGAATTAGAAAATTTCTCCATCGACTGCATCTATTTAGTTTAGAATATTCAAACGAAAACAGTATGGTATCCAGTTTCCCTACAAACAAAACCCACACATACATTAATAAAAAAGACTGTTAAAGATAGAAAGGAAACTAACCAGACTGTGTGTGCATATAAAGAAGGGAGAGTAGAGTGTCATGCAGCGGCAAACGCACGTAACGCAAGCCAAACCGCACGCGTTTACGCGTCAACATCCCTGGGTGTGCTGTGGTTATACCTCTCTCTCAATCAGCTTTTCGACGTACTCGACAGTGCGCACGCGCTTCTCGCCTGTCGTCTCGTCCACGTACTCTTCCGTTTTTCTGGTGATCGTCTCGCCTAGTACTTTTTCGCTCTCGCGCACCTTGGTGCCCACGGGTGTCGTGCGTACTGCCAGCTTCGGGAAGTCGGCACTAGAGGGCCGCAGTGGCGCTACTGCAGGTTCAGGCTGTTGGGGAGCATGCGCCGATCAGGTTAGTCAGATAGCATAGGGGAAGGGGGTTAGTATGATGAGTAGGATATGGGTGATGGAATGTCGTGCTGCTGGAATATGGCACGTGGAGCATTTTGATGATTCAAAAAACAATGTTAATATTTTTGGATTAAAAATAACACAATTTACTATAGTTGTAGTCACAGTTCTTGGCGGTTACGTCATCAACGCCAAATGAAATAACTAATCAGATTGAGTCTCCGTACCATGGGCGTATCGTGGGTGCAGAGGTCGTGATATGATGTCCTTTACTTCTCATATCGCAGAAAGCATTCCTAATTCCTGTTTTGATGGCATCACATACATCATCGGTCTTGCATTTTTTGATTTTGTGAGTTTCCCCAGGTGTTACTATGAGCAAAACTTTCTTATTTTCTGATTTTATTCGCGCAGACTAATCGGCTATTTTCTCCAGTACGCATGAAGTTGGTAACAGGGGACCGTTGTTTTAATTCTCTTCCCGGAAATACTTTAATAAATTTAGCACGAGCTGTCGACCTTCTCCATTGATCGTATTTCCGGCCATTGTACAATTTTATATTGAAGATTGATAAATAAGAGGACAATGCCCATGTCAAGTAAGTTGTTCTCTGACAAATATGATTGAAGGGTCATACATAGTGACAAAGTTTTCGAGACGGAGGCACACAACTATGAGCTTACCGAACACACGTTCACAAACAGGGGTAGGCTGCATGTGTATGTATGAGGGAGATGTAGATATATAAAGGCATAGCGGTAGTCTTACTTTGACCCGTCATAAACGGTGACTACAACTATATAAGCATGAGTCTTGAAATGTCAAGTTCACAAGATACAGAGTGATACAAAATTATTTGTATATGCAGCTGATGAGACTCATCAAGGACAAAACATGAATGTTTCTCTAACCACGATGTAATAAGATTTGATTACCTCCTTCATTAGCGTAAAATACCTTAAGACGAGACCCAATCGGTAGAACATTTAGGAATCATCATGGGCTGTAAACTGAACTGGAGAGAGAATGTCGAGTACAAGGTTAACAAGGCTCGCATCCACTTTGAGCTAGTAGACGGGTTGTCGGAGTGAAGTGGGGGCTTATGCCCAAAGTGGTGCACTGGCTCTACATGACGATAGTACGTCCATCCCTTTTGTATGGCTCTTTAGTTTGGTGGTCTTGTATCGGAACCGAGGCAACTATGGCCAAAGTCAACAAAATTAAGCCTTTGGCTTGTATTAGAATTACAAGCGCAGTGCGGACAGTACCATTGAGTGCAATGGAGCTCTACTGCATCTCCCACCATTGAATCCAGTGATCCGCGGAGAGGTGAGAGTGGTCGCACATCGACTGAGGAGTCAGGGCAGCTGGGCCTTTATGAATCCTATCAAAGATCACACGAGAAGAATTGCAAAGGGAGGTTCCCGTCCTTCTGAGCAGGGCTGATCTGATCACCCCTATGTATCGTTTTAACCGCAAGTTCAACATCCGACAACCGTGGAGTGAGATACCGAAGAAAGTGGACAAGTCTCGTACTCGGACGGCTCGGTTACTGAAGTGGGCTCTGGCGCCGGGGTCTTTGGGCCTAGAAGTAGGCTCTCACTGCCTCTCGGCAGATACACTACTATTTTCCAGGCGGAAATCTATGCGATTCTGGCTTGCGTATCGCTGCATTCTGGAGGGGAAAGGGCCTAGGAGAAGAATAACAATCTTCTTCGACAGCCAGGCTGCAATGAAGTGTCTGCAAAATTACTTCGAGCTTTGTATTACAATGCAAGGAGGCTTTTGACAGATTAGCAGCGAGGCATCTGGTATCGTTACTGCGGATACTGGGGCACGCTAGGATAATGGGTGATGATATGGCGGACGTTCTCGCGAAAGTAATATCACCTGGACCTGAGCGCTGCGGGGTAGAGGAGTCCTCGACGCATGTTCTGTGACGCTGCGAAGCTCTAATCTACAGACAGACTATACTGGAGTCCAAAACTTTGGATCCCCATAATGTTAAGGACCTGGCACTCAGGGCTCTACTCAGATTCGCTAGAACGGCGGAGCTTGAGGCTTGTAGTGGTGCATAAGGGCCCGCCATGTGGCCTATACGCCGGCTCCTTGTGGTAGCCGGTATGCCTGTAATCTCATTTATTTCATTCATTCAACGAAATATACTTGAGGACTACTAGCGCTGTATATGAGATAGTAGCAGACCGCAAAAATGAATTTAGAAATCTGCTATGAAAAGAGTCAGAGTGTTTTGTGCTACTAATGTCTGACAGATGGCGCTAGGACCTTCAATCCCTTTTTGACGCCTCCATTTTAATTTGGTATCTTCAGGTGAAATACGTTCATCAATAATTTTGATAGATAATTAAGATATACAATTTTTTGAGTTGATTCTGATTTAGTTTCATTGTTTTCTTTGTCATATAGTTTCCAGCAGCACATATGTTAGTGTAGATTTTTGGTTAATACTATAATTAATATGATAAAGATCTAAATTGTTATCACCTTCATATAAGGATATATACGTTAGTTACATGATATAATTATCATGCAGCATTTTCATAAATAATTACATACTCTGAAATATATATGATTCTAGCTAATTTGATATATAAAATTTTCTAGCTGATTCTTAAATTATAGGGAATGGCTAAATGGCCAAGTTTCAGTAGGTGATTCTATCAGAAGCCAATGAGATTTATATGATAATGCTTCATTTACAAGATATAGGATATCAAACTTTCACACACATCAATCCTAAAGATAGCGATTTGTGGCTTTAGTCAAGCATTTTCTTGAATAATTTTAATTATTTTTTCGAAAATGAACTCGATCGCTCATAACAACAAATTTTATCCAAATCGGTTAATGGGTTATTACCATATAAAAAAAGAATTTTCACGAAAGGTTTGACATCTTTATAAATCAAGCATTACCGGAGATTATTGCTTATAATTTTCTCCCAGAAGCACCCCATATATCAGCTATTACAGTTTGGGCAGCTACTCATTAATGTCTTATATAGTATAGTCACTGTAGAAATAATAGATAAAATAAAACGATTTAAATTTAAGCATACAAGCGATGAATTATGATCATAATTTAAACTATCTTCTATGAAATAATAAAAAGGGTAAACATATTTTCAGAAAGAATGAAAAGGACGATTCACAAATATTCGTGATCATAAAAACTGATATAAAAGACCAAACCATTGATTAATGAAGACAGCCAACCAAAAACTGTATTCTGGCGGTCAAAAAGGGATTTTAAATACGTCAGCGCCATCTATGAGATACCGGCAGAACTAAGCCCTGTTTTCAAAATAGATTTCTAAATTCATCTCTCACTCTGCTACTGTAACTAGAGTTACCAAATATACTGTTAAAAACAGTATTATAACACTGTTGTTCACTAAATTATACTTTTAACTGTTGAACAAAACTAAAAAAAAATACTGTTTTCAGCATCCATAGGGATCCAAAGAAGTAGATCAAAAAGTATCCAAGGAAAAATGTGGAGACATCTGCCAGTGAAAGCCTCAGAGGAGTTGAATCTTACTCAAATTGTTTCGTATCTACTTTCCGTTTCCATTACCTCAGCATTCACAGGAAGATTTTTTCGGCTAAGTATGCAAAGTGGCGGGATGACAGAAACAGCGCTTCAATAAATTTATTAAATTGATATCCTTAATCATTTTCATTTAAATTTTTATTGCAGTGAAGCTTTCCAAAATGACAATAAGTCAATGACAAATAAGTTCTGCTCTAAGAAATATGTATTTTGAGGATTAAACTAATCAATACAATATTGTTGAATGTTATATTATGTATTATGAACAATATATATGTAGTATATGTAGTAATAATATCAAAAAAGTATTAATAAATGAATAATTACTGTTTATTCAAAAACATATTTATTTTCCTACTAGACTAAAGTATACTTTATTTCTTGTAAAAGAAATTGGCAACGCTAACTGTCTCATGCAGCTAATTTATTTCAGACCCTTTTTGAGTACCGATATACATTATATGATTGGCTACCTTCAAGTAGATTATGTCGATCGATGCCAAAACCCAAAAAGTAAGTTCCGTCGTGAAATTGACTTTTTGCGATAAAAAATATCCGTTTCTAAAAACAATAAAATAAAGTGCCTCTTGAGGACGGTGGTCACTAGTAGTGGAATCCTTATATCACTGTAAGAATATAAGAGCTTCAAGTCGTATTCTCCATTCTTTCTGCCCGACATACAACTACAACATAGTCGTAACAACCGCACTCACCACTTCCTTCCCGTTGTCTCTGATCTGTTCTTCCCCTTTTTTATCTTCATCTAATACGGGTGCCGTCACCCCCACCATATCCGTCATGCTCTTGATCACCATCTGCGCTTGTATCGCATCCTGTTCCAAGCTCTTCAATCTCGCAGCTCTCCACGCGGCACGTTTCTCGGCTCTGAGTGCCCTTTCTTCCGCGGCGGTTAGTGCGCCGCTATTTCCGTAGATGGCGTCATCGTCGTCCGTTGCCCCGCCTGCTTCTTCCCCACCGCTGGCTGTACCACCCCCGCGGGCGGCACGACGTTGCTCGCGGAGGCGGCGCTCCGCTTTGGCGGTACGAACCACGCCTATAGTTGATGATGGTCTAGGAACAAAATTAGAGACGATGATATTAACCATATGCGGCTAGAATTTTTTATCATGACATCAATCTAAAATTCTTTAGATCCTATTTATCACGGCGGAAGCAGTACGTAGCATATGATGGGTTCAAGTCCGAAGCCTAATCAGCTCCATCCGGTGTCCTCATGGATCTAACTTGGGACCACTTTTATTCCTTTTGTTTATTAATTACCTTTGTGAAAATTTGAAATGCATGCAATTATGTTTTGCTGACGATATGAAAATATATTCGACTATAAGGGATATTCGTGGTTATTAGGATTTACAGTATTAGGACTTGCGGTGCGATGTCAATAATTTACATCTTAATACCAACAATCTTAGATTTGGATGTTCTTTATGACCAAAGATTAACATTTGCTCCCCAAGTCCTTGTCAGGAATTCTAACCAATTGCATGACATAAGAGCTGTGACTGTATTATATTTTGCATATGTGCGTAGCAAACTTGAATATGCGAGTATTATATGGAGCCAATATTACCAAATTTATATAATACTACTACAATTTCTTCATATGAAGTCTGAGGGAGTTTATCCTGTGCAGAGCTGTGTGGGCATTTTGAAATTCAAAGTCTAGGGCTCAGAGGAAAGGTTTCACCTGCAGCATTTATTTTCAAAGTATTACATGGTATGACCGACTCCCCAGACATTCTACTGCAAATTAATATTAATGTATCTCCATTTTCTTCGTGCATTTATGTCACTTTTAAACGAATCAAGGTTCAACGTTTTGGTCAAGTCACCTGTGCTTGTTATGTGTAAAAATCTCAATAGAATTAGCTGTCATTGCAATATATGATATTTATATCCTCTCTTAGCGAGGTAATTAAGATGGTTTATCAGTACTTAAATTGATTATTTTCTTTCCAAACTATGTCGTAGACTATTAGTTTATTTTGTTCATGTAAGTGTCCTGTAAATGGGTAACTGTTGGACAATAGATGCTATTAATGTTACTATTCACTTTTATTATATAAGGTAACCTGAAAATTGGGACTTTCTTTCTCAGAAACAACTACGGTTGAAGTAACAAAGTTAATTTGAGGTGAAACAGGACCTAAAAAGTAAAAGAAATACTGAAGAAAAACACTCACTGATTATTTGGTACTACGTTGCAAGTATTTCCATGTCACATATTTTGTTTGTAATTACTATTTGAAGTTGTCGCTGTTCGATTAAAAAACAAGATTATTTACTTACACCTAAATTTGTAACATTTGGAACTGTCTAGGCCTTCCATTGTGTTCACCCGGATGGCTTTTGGACGATATAAACAAACCTACGCAGCTCTGATGGAAACATCTAGGATGACGGCCACGTTCTGAATACTCAATCACATTCGCGGAGTATCAATAGGATCTTGAAGATGCTCACAGCAAGCTAACATCGAATCGATAACTACGTTATTGCTGTGGGAATGAGCCAATTACGGTTTTCCAATACGGTTTGTTTATTAATGAGGTTAACCTACACACTTCGCGGCGCCTGATTTGGATACTGACTCACATAGTCCCAGTACCACAAAACATCACCTCCTTTGACGTAGGAGGGGAGGGAGGTAGGGTCGGAATCGCTTATTCAGAGTTTTTCGGAACTTAATATCTCGGTTATCTCAAGGCTTTGGTATACGTATTACTAGGAAAGCTTGCTTATTATTGCCGGACCTATACCTCTGTAAAAGACAGTCCCAACTTGAGGAGACCCTCTATAGGGTCATCGGAAGGTCGATAAAAAACCTCTTTGCTGTCATGATTGTTTATTATGAGATCAAACATTCTATTGTCTTCCAATATGAAAACTTTCCGAATTATCAAAATATAGTGTACATGTTACACAGAATAATTTTGAAATGGTTCGATTTTACACTGCTTCCTGGCTTTTCGACCAAATTTGTGTGAATATTTGGCAACAGTATAAGCTAAAAGTGTTCAAACCACTCATCTAAGAGGTTTCTTATGTTTGATAATGAATATTACCAATCACAGTTTATTGTTTTTACTTTTACTTCCCATGTCATTGGCGAGGAGGTATTGTAATCGCCAATTTCATTTCCATCGGTCTGTCTGACTGTTTGGCGGTTTGTTTGTTGGTTTGCCTGTCAGTTTATTTGTTTGTCTATCTGTCTGCTGATCTGTCTGTCGATCTGTCGGTCTTTTTGTCTGTCTGATTTTGATAAAATTTTGAAGTTTACTATTATGATGGGGACAAAAAGGTGTTGTAGTTTTTGAAAATCGGACCAGTGGCGGCTGGGTTAAAATAAAAAAGTACAAACTTCGTTTTTAGACGTTTATGAGACTCCTGATCATTTTTAGAAAAAAAAAATTGTAGGGGTTCAACACAGAGTTAGAGTTTGTAGCGGGTGTAAATTTGCATATTTGGTATCTGTGAAACACGTTTTAATATTATATTCAAAAACTTGTGACCTCGGTGGTATTGCCCATCTGTTAGACACAATATCACACAAACTTCGCATAATACATATTTACGTCTATAACTCCAGCAACACCCGCTACCTAGCAACACGCGATATTCATTACCTACGGAGGGTCCTATCCGAAATCAGCTATAATACATTACTATAATACATCCAAAGCCCATAATTTTAGTCTTTTTGAATTAAAAATGCTGTTTTTCACTGATAGTTATTCTACCCTATCGACTTGTCAAAAATGCCACAGTGTGCAAAAGTTGACTTAGATATTAATAAATTGTCCATAAATGCATAGGAAGTACAGACGTTATTTTTGTATGTACTACTTGAAAAGGATATTTCTGCATGAATTTCTCATTACATTAACTAGAGCAAACCAATATACCTGGAATGTTGCGATCCTGTGGTAGACTCTCCTTCGGAATGCTCTAATTCATTGGCAGAACTCCCTTCCGTTCTAGTGAGAGAAGCTATCTTCCTTTCTTCTTCGGCCCTCAATTTCTCTAACTCGTCAGCGCTCAAGTAACTGAATACTTTTTCTAAAAATACGACGCGTAAAAGTTACTGACGAACCTGTTAAAAGCCTAATTCAAAATTTTACCTGGCTTAGAGGGTTTTTGACTTTCTTCCATAGCTGTCTCGAAGAATTTCTTTCTATCACTGACTGATTGTTTTGGAGCAGGATTGCTATTTGGCGAATGAGGGGGCTGTGAAAAATTATAAATTAAATAATGAATAATTAATATGTACTAAAATGTCTATAATGTGAAAGTTTTTAGAAAAAATAATGTTATTGGTCCTAGTAAAAAAAACCTGAAAGTCGGCACTCTCCAAATATGTGAATGGGATATTTTCTAATATATTTTAATAATAGCTAGAATATATTATTTAAACACTTTTATTTGAAAACTTAAATGAGGCTCAATTAATCTATTTTGGTAATTAATAAGCACCATTCATTGGCTTTTTTGTACATAGTCAAACGTTTCAATATTTATCTTAAAAGTGTCGATTTTGATAAAAACAAAAAAGTGGAAAAATTGAGTCCAGCCCTGGATGTCTTAAACGTCCGTTTTAGTTCAAGTTTTTCCAATATAGCCTAAGATACGTGACATTAAAGATTAATCGTGTTTAGATGAATCACCCTATATATCCTGCAAAACTCCGTCTTGCTTTCTGGATGGAAAAATTTATTACGCCACATTTCTTGCGCGGAGGTTTACGTCCGAATCTTATAGGGATTTTATTGTCACTTCTCTCCAAAAAGTGTGAACAGAATATAGTTTTTGTAGGAAAAAAAACATCTGTCGAACCTAGGATTTTTGGAAATACCCCATTCACAATTTTTTGATTTATAAGATAAAATTTGGTTATCACAGGTTTCATACAAGTGTTTTCAGTCTTAGTCCCTTTAATAAAATTTGAAGCATAAATAGTCTTTTTGCGCCACCATGTATACCTATGAAACATATATCTAATAAAACAATAAATAATTAGTTTTATAAAACTTTGTCCCTTTGCGTTTTGTACAAGCACGTCAAAATAAAACCAATTAAATCTACAAAATACCAAAAGAAGAAAATTACCTTTTCCACAGTACCAAACTTGCCCAAAGTTCCACTACCAAAAGTCAAATTCTGCTTATTCGAGAGAACTAAAGATACAGGTCGCGTATTGAGCGAAGCTTTACTAAGGAATCTATTTTTTGGTGTATCTTCCAACAATTTCTCTTCACTTTTGAACGTCCTCAGACCAGGTTTCTTCTCGGGAACAGGAGGTGGTACCTTCTTGACAGGTTTTGTAGAAGGAACAGGTGGAGGAGGTACCTGGGGACGAATTATTGTAGGAGAAGGTAATTGAACACTCGCAGGATGCAATGAAGGTACTTTTTTCGATGTAGGTGAAAATACTTCAAACCTGGGCGAAGTACTTATAGAATTGGTTGGATCCAAAGATGGTAGCTTTTGGGCTGTAGCTGATGGGAATTCGAAGTTAGTTTCATTTTCTACTCTAGCAGATGGTACTTCAAACGTAGATGAAGTACTTATAGAATGATATGGGTCAAGACATGATGGTATTTTTTGATCTTTCGCAGATGGGTCTTCGAAGTTGGATGAAGTACTTATAGAGTTAACTGGGTCAAAAGATAAAGTTTCCTTTTCTACTCTAGTAGATGTTACTTCGGAATTGAATGAGGTATTTATAGAAAGAGCTGGGTCTAGAGATGAAGTTACTCTTTGCGCTGAGGTTGATGGTACTTCTGAATTAGATGAGGGTACTTATTGAAGTCGTTGGATCAACAGATGAAGGTATTTTCTTTGTAGCGAATTCATACACTGGCAAAGCTGTGGTATCAGCTAGGTAGTTCTGTTCTTTTTCTGATACTGTGGTTTGTTCTATTTTTAATTCTCCATTTTGAACTTCACCCTCTGAGGTAACAGGAGGGGGCAAGATTTGGTCTACTATTTGTTGCAAGGGAGGTGGAGGAGATTTTGGTAATGGTGGAGGACAACTAGAAGGTAGGGGCGGCGGTAAATCAGAACCTTTGAAAGGTTGAGGTCGAAGTAAAGTGTCCTGGTTTGAAGATTGAGGTGGAGGTAGCCCAGAGAAGCTCAATAATGGAGGAGGTGCTGGCACCCCATAGACATGTGGAGCTGATACAATCAGGGGTGCTAGAGGGGGTAGAGGTTGATAGTACGGACTATATACATTTTGATACGGAGGATGTTGATGCTGAGGCATCGTGTGGTTATATACATTGATCTCAACTTGTTGATGAGGAGGAGGAGACATCATGCCATACCGATCCATAGGGTACCCAGTGCTCATTGTTGGACCCTGGATAGATACAGCGACACTTCCTGAAGGTGCAGGAAGGCGTGTTGTATCAAAACACTGTGGAGGAGGAATGTAATGTTGGTCACCTGTTTGTATTTTATTGAAGTGACTCTCAAAAGACCCTTCCGTGTCAAGTCTGGTACTAGGTTTTGAAGAATTAGGTAGGGTGTCAAAAGGGGTGACGAAAGATGGCTCATCAGGTGGTTGAGTTTTTATGGAATGGCTCGTAGAAGAACCTTCAGTCGTATGTTTTAAAGTCTCTGGTAAGGTGTCAAATGATTGCGGGGAAGGTGTGATCAAAGATGGATCATCAGGTGTCTGTGTTTCTGTGGTGTGACTCTTGGAGAAACCTTCTGTGGTATGCGGCAAAGTTCCTGTGTCAACCTCGGTACTAGGTTTCGCAGATTTTGGTAAGGTGGCAGCATGCACTAACTCCTGTTAGAATATAGAGAGGTCTTAGACGTGTGAAAGCGATTGTAATCCCGACACCTGAAGCCACACGAGTAGCGAAGACGAGACAGCACAGGAACGAGACAGTACTCTTTCGGTACGACTGTTGAACTATTGTTTGGAAAACTCTCTTCTTGATGAATTTTAGTAGTACTTTTACTTTTTATCATAAGAAAGTTCTATGAATTTTGTAAAGTAGTTTTCATAATCGGTGGAGCCTACCTGACCATTCGAACCCCCTAACAGCGTTGCCACTCAGATGCAAAATTTCCTGAGTCATAGTTTTTTATGCATATGAAACGGACTGAAAACTAGTGTTATCATTTTTATCACAAACCGTATTCAACAGTGTTGCACCAGAAAGACCACTGTAGAGGAGAACTATAATTATTCTTCCAGAAATGGGTATGAACTAAATACTACGTGATTTACATTTTGTACCAAAAATATATTTGTGCAATCCGAAATCACATTCAAAATTGTTATAACATTCAGATTTTCCGTACTTCACATATAAATAAATACATTCTTATGAGGTCTGCAACATTAATATAAAATTCTGCTAAGACTAATGGCTGGAGTTAAAATCATGGCGACTCATTCAAAATTTGTAAAAGAAACTTTTAAAATTTGCTATTACCCTTCAAACATATCCAAAAACAATATAAGTCGATTGATGGTTTCACATTGTTGACACATTAAGATGGCACATACCTGTTGATATTTCTCAGTTGGTGCTGTAGATGCGATATATATATATATATATAACTTGAGACGTGGTCATTGTCGTCTAGACCAGTTAGGTGAAAAATTAAAGCTTCCGCTTTTTGTTGGGTACTTCGACAAGGTTTAAGCAAAGAGGACTCTTTATACTTTTTTTAATTCTCTCTAGCTTTCAATGGACTTTGCCATCATCATCAGGAGCTGCAATTACAATGATAACAGTAGCAACAAAGGTGTAAAATGAATTTAAATTGACTCAACTTACAGTAGTATGTGAGATGTAATGTTCTAATTTTTTAAAATAATTTTTAATCTGTTTTTAACTTGTTCTTGTCATGTTTTGTATAAATTTTGACTATTGTGCAACCTATTCAGCTCTCACCATGTTACTGGACGTTTCCCTCATCCTATACGTAAACAACAATTAGCAACATTCTCACATACTACTGTAAGTTGAGTCAATTTAAATTCATTTTACACCTTTGTTGCTACTGTTATCATTGTAATTGCAGCTCCTGATGATGATGATGGCAAAGTCCATTGAAAGCTAGAGAGAATTAAAAAAGTATAAAGAGTCCTCTTTGCTTAAACCTTGTCGAAGTACCCAACAAAAAGCGGAAGCTTTAATTTATATATATATATATATATATATATATATATATATATATATATATATATATATATATATAATCTGCAAAAAGGAGGAAAGTGGATTCGAGCAGAAAATATGATAGGTAACCCGTGCGATACGTATTTCTGCTGGTTGGCTACATCAGGCCCGAAATGAATGCACATCTGAAACTACAAAAGTAGATACACATGCCCACACATCCGGATACGGGTGTAACCTGAGGAAACGAAGTTGGAGGGAAAAAAAACGACACACGAAGTCCACAACAAGAGCCAACCTACACATTGTAGTATAAAATGGCTATACGACCTCGAATTTTCAAGGAGACGTCTAACCACCACCACGCGGCCGGTTATAGCCACTTGCTGTGGTACTTCAAGCCCAAGGGATCTACAAAGAGAATATGATCATGCGGAGAAAGGTATATACATATAACAACAAGTAGGAAAATAATGGGCAAAATCCGCAAAAAGGAGGAAAGTGGATTCGAGCAGAAAATAGGATAGGTAACCCGAGCGATACGTATTTCTGCTGGTAGGCTTCATCAGGCCCGAAATGAATGCACATATGAAACTACAAAAGTAGATACACATGCCCACACATCCGGATACGGGTGTAACCTGAGGAAACGAAGTTGGAGGAAAGAAAAACGACACACGAAGTCCACAACAAGAGCCAACCTACACATTGTAGTATAAAATGGTTATACGACCTCGAATTTTCAAGGAGACGTCTAACCACCACCACGCGGCCGGTTATAGCCACTTGCTGTGGTACTTTCCTCCTTTTTGCGGATTTTGCCCATTATTTTCCTACTTGTTGTTATATACCTTTCTCCGCATGATCATATTCTCTTTGTAGATCCTTTGGGCTTGAAGTACCACAACAAGTGGCTATAACCGGCCGCGTAGTGGTGGTTAGACGTCTCCTTGAAAATTCGAGGTCGTATAGCCATTTTATACTACAATGTGTAGGTTGGCTCTTGTTGTGGACTTCGTGTGTCGTTTTTTTTCCTCCAACTTCGATTCCTCAGGTTACACCCATATCCGGATGTGTGGGCATGTGTATCTACTTTTGTAGTTTCATTTCGGGCCTGATGAAGCCAACCAGCAGAAATACGTATCGCTCGGATTACCTATCCTATTTTCTGCTCGAATCCACTTTCCTCCTTTTTGCGGATTTTGCCCATTATTTTCCTACTTGTTGTTATATACCTTTCTCCGCATGATCATATTCTCTTTATATATATATATACACAGGGTGTTCCATAATTATTGCGACAAAATGATAGGGGTTGTAGAGGGCATAAAAATATGCAATTTTGCCTTATAAACCCCTGTTCGTAAATATGCCGTTTGAGCACTACAGTTAATTTTACCTTAAGAGCTCATAGGAGAAACAAAAAATTCACCAGCTGCAAAATGTTCGTCTAGCACATTTCATGGTCTCACCGGTTTGTAAAAAAAGCCTGCTGTGTTTACATTTTTGTTATCGTACACCCGTACCACCTTTTAAAAGTCCAAGCCATGGGTCCAGCAGACTATCTGCCGCGTCGACGTTTTTGCCGTTGGTGGCTGCAGCAGGAGTTGAGGCAACCAAACTTTGGTCGCTACGTTTTGTTCACTGACGAGTCCTGTTTTACAAAGGACGGTTATTTTAATAGCCATAACAGTCACATTTGGGATGAAGAAAACCCTCATGCCATAGCCATCCATAGAGACCAACATCAGTTTTCAATTAACATCTGGTGCGGCATTGTGGACGAGCATATCATCGGGCCACATCTGCTTCCACCACGTTTGGATGGGCATGCTTATGGTCGATCCTTACAGCATGTGCTACCGGAACTATTACAAAATGTGCCACTGAATATAAGAGCCAACATGTGGTTTCAACACCATGGCGGTCCAGCCCACTTTTCTTTACAAGTGCGGCAGTATTTGGACGACAAATTTCCAAATAGGTGGATAGGCCGAGGTGGCCCTGTGCCTTGGCCTGCGCGGTCACTTGACCTGACCACACTGGATTATTTTATCTGGAGCTATCTGAAAGCTTTAGTGTACGAAACTCCTGTTCCCAACCAACAAGAGCTACTGGGAAGAGTGATGGCCGCGTCCGCACATGTTCAGGACATACCGGGGGTATGCCACAGAGTTTGCCGATCATTGAACAATCGTGCACAGCTGTGTATTGAGCAAGGTGGAGGATACTTTGAGCAATTACTGTAGGTAAGCTGTTTCAAGAAACTGATCTTTTTTTTTTGCTGCAGCCCAAACGGCATATTTCCGAACAGGGGTTTATAAGGAAAAATTGTTCATTTTGATGCCCTCTACAACCCCTATCATTTTGTCGCAATAATTATGGAACACCCTGTATATGTGTGTGTGTACAGGGTGCTCCATAAGAGAATTAGGATTAGGATTTGAATTACAAAATACTAAGCATTTTAGGGAGTTTATTTCTATTGAAAATTAATCTACTTGACGTAATCTATAAAAAATGATACTGGTACATGTGTGCTTCATTTTTCACGTATTTTTTTTCCTAAAATATGTACCTCTTTTTCAAATTACTTTGAAGATCTTAAATCTTATCTGTGATACCGTCTATACACTTTAATTTTATGTTGATACAGTTTGAAAGATGATAGCAGTTCACATAAATACTCCCCATAGTCTCATTAAAAATATATGGTTCAGTAAAATTATTCCCGCGAACCCTGTCTCATTTTAAATAAATAAATAGGTGAATTACGATAAAATATTTATATGTTAACAAATAACGTACACATAGAACATAGACTGAACGGTACCCATCTGAAGAAAAAAGGCACATTAATATAAATACAACATAAAGTAACAATTCTATGCTACAATCATTTCAACGTGTAACAGTTCCTTATTAATTTGGTTTCAAAAACCATTTTAAATTCCTTATCACTTTTATCAACTACCATAGAGAACATAGCAACTGAAAATCTGGTTGATATACGAGAAATAAAAAATATGGCTTTACAACAATGTTCAAAGAGCTTTATTGCAGTTAGACAAAATAATTGGAACAATAAAATTTATGACCGATACACCTAGACTATTGGCAGTTCCAAATTTTCAAAAACAATTTACCGATATATCTTACCAGTTCAATGATATGATGACAGCATACAATGTGTCTGATAATCTAGAAAAACAGTGAATTTCAAAATTAGAATTTACTATTTTGAGCCCTAAAACTAAAAATTCCAAGTTCAAAATGCACTCGATATTATTTTATTTCATGTTGTTTGCACTATTTGCAATAAGGTAAGTTTTTCTGATAATCATGAATACGATTATGAGACACACTGTACCAATGTTTTAAAACAATCATTGTCAATATTTATACACTAATCTTTTACTATTTGACATTCAACCCAAATGTCATGTTGCAAAATATTACTTTAACCACAAGTACATTGATATTTGGTATGTATGTAGCCAATTTTCACATTAAGGAACATTTTTTTTATAATCAATATTGAACTCCACACGCGAAAAATATTGACATTATTAAGCAGGTGTTTTTGATGTTCGCTATGCACTTTACAACATGGCAGGACTGTTTGTGTTGAAACGTCAACAGTGATAGGTTAGTTCCTTTAGAATAATTCCCTTTTGACTCGTCTGCTGCATATCTACTGTTTTGTATAAGATTTATTTATCAAAAGATGAGGTGAAAATATAGTTGTCATAATTTTTTTTTCATAACTACACATTGGCAACTAAGAGGATACTTAGAAATATGAGCACCACATTTTTTAATTATATTAATTAAAACTTTTTTCTTGTAAGTTCAGTTCCTGTAGTTTTATAATCATTTACAATGTCGAAACCGCACTTACCTATAAAATGCAGTATGTTACCACTAATATTACACAGCTTAGACATTATATGAAGTATAAATGGCAACTTTGACCTCCTCGCGCAACGTAGCCATTTTATACTTCTCAAGATACTTGAGTTGTACAGTATTAGTGGCAACATAGTGCATGTATAACCATATGCACATCATTTGACATAACATTACAAATATTTTAGAAAAATATGTATCCGATTTTACAGTAAAATCTCATCCTTTTTTATTAATCGCTATGGATTTTTCTGTCGATTCATCTGCAAGAAAAATTGCGTGTAAAATTTTTCAGTTATTTAATGCAAAATGACACCGATAACATGCGAGCGCATGCTCTAATCTGTTAGGGCGGATATAACATAACCTCACTGTTTTTAACTTTTTATGCCGTATGACACAAATAATTGAAAGCAGCTTCTCAAAATTTCTCAAGTATACAATATTCACAGTATCACCATTGATGAACGCATTTTACCTGAAGATAGCCAACCATATACTGTATTTCGGCGCCCAAAAACGGATGTGAAAGATACAAGCGCCATCTATGAGACAATAGTAGAACACAAAAATAAATTTAGGAATCTACTTTTGAAAGAGTTATTGTTTGAGTATTGATGATCATCAGTAGATTTTAAAATTTATTTTTGAGTTCTGCTATTTTCATAGATGGTGCAAGTAGTATTGTGCTTTCTAGTTCATTTCGGTGAACTAGTTCAATAGGTCGCGCTCATTAAAACGAACTATTTCATACAAGAATGATGTCATTGAAAGCGTTTTTTTTTTATTTGATTTTTTTGTTTGTTACGATGGATGTTCCATATTTAAATACTCTACGTAAATTGTGCTCACATAATAGACGAAGCTATGATATATACACATTTTCTATCAATCTCAAATAATGTATATTTTTTGATATCACTAGTTCAGCAGGTTTTTGATAAATAATACAAAGCTAGGCAACCCTATGTGGATATCCTGCTTTCGCGAGAACGTTTTTTGTAATATCGCAGACAAAATCCAAGCGGAAAATGAACCGAAGAAGAAAAAAGTATCAGGCCTTTTGGACGATTATGATCTTGAGGTAAAATGCCTTTGTGCAGTTTAAAATCCAGTCGCAGAAGGAATTATCGAACGGGACAAATATGTTCATGAACCGCTTTTACCTCTGGAGTGGTGCCAGGAAGGAGCTAAATTTCTTCCAGATTAGTTAAGATGGGTAAAAAACCGTTTGTATCTGCCATCTGTGCCATGCGAGCGGCTTTTTTTCAAAGGCTGGGCAAGTAGTCTTGTCAGCAGAACTAGTCTAGAAGTCGATGAAGATAAGAAATTAATGGTTTTAAATGGAAAGTTGTAGTTAATTTATATTTTCATTTAGTATTGTTTTAATGTCTTTATGGGCCGCGATGCATGACCTTTTTATACATATAAAAGTTAGCTAATTTTTAATTGTTTCATTCTTCATAACTAACAGCATCCACCATCTTTTTTATAACTTCCAGGCAAACATTTATATAATTTCTGCTCACGGTTGAGTTCCGTCTCCTTTCTCGTATCTCGTCCTCGTTCGTTCACTCACAACTAGTTTGATCAGTTCATCGGGTTCCTGTAATTTTAGTTGCTCGTAGTGAACGAGTTTTCCAAGGAATCATGAACTAGTTACACTTAGTTCAATCATAAGAACCGTTCGATTGAACTAGTTTGTTCGTGAACCACACACCACTAGGCGCAAGTATCTTTCAGATGTCTTTTCACGGTTTATGGTTGGCCATATCTAGGTACGATACGTTAATCAGTGGTATAATATAGACGATATCCTGATTGATTTTTGCCTATGTTCAGGGAACAACCTGATTATGTATTGTTACTTTTACGTATTACGTATACGTGAAGCAAAGGTTATGTTATCTTACGATAACGAATTTTTTTTAATTTCATGCTCAACCAGACATCAATTGCTATACATCTATGGATTCATACGCAGTATACATGATATGCCTTGTTTTGTACAAAAGGCGTCTTCTCGTCCACTATTTCATCACAGCCAAGTCATTAGTTGATTTCGTGATGTTAAATTCTGATGAGATGACCTATACTTTTAATGCTGTCAACTATACCATAAATATTTCAAATTATTTCAATTTGTTCTTAAATTCCTCCATCTGAATTGTGTTCTTTTTCATGACAGTTCCAGACGTCAAAAATTGATAAATACAAGCCACGAGTCTAAAAAAATCCTACTCATGCATCAGATTTTCCCCGCTATCTGAAAATGACCTTGGATGTGACATTGTCCTTCAAAATTATTTCAATGGCAAGCCCACTTTTTTATCGAGACACTATATTTTAGACACCGGAAATGGATACAGCGTGAAATTTTATGTTTCGATGAGTTCTTAACTTAAAAACTTGACCTTTGAAGGTCAAGGTCAAATATCGGATCTATAAATTAACTTCGAAAACTACCAGTTTAACAGAAATATTCTCTCGCTTAAGCAAACATTATCTTGAACTTGACATATCATTGAATTACAATCTTAAGGTCAAATCAAGGTCGCCGCCAGATAGTCAAATACTATGCTTGGGTAGAATTTCTTTTAAGCAGTTTATCGATTAGATAGTAGACCTTCGCCATGACCTTCAAAGATACATATTCTGGAGGTCAATGACTCATCCGAACGTAAAATTTCTCGCTACAGGATCTTATTTGGAAAAGGGAATTGATCTTCAATTGATGTATTAGAGCTTTTTTATTTCCCTGTATATTTTTGTATAAATGGGATCTTCAATTTTTTTTCACCATATCTGGTGAGAGCGGAAAATTTTACGTTCATTTAAAAATGAACTTGACCTCAAATATCCAGATAAAGGTTAAATCAAGGTCTCTGCTTGAGTAACATTCCTTTCAGAGAGATTATCGATGAGATGTTGTTTAGAAATTAGATATTACACTTTTATCATGACCTTCAAAGGTCAAACTGACCATGAAATTACCTTCAAGGCCAATGTCAAATTCAAGGTCACCTTCACCTATGCCTGGATACAATTTATATTAGGTTTCTGTATAATGATTTGACAGCATTAAACACAAAAAACTGCTTATCTATGTGAAGTAGGCAAATCAGCGGCAATGATACTTACCGCACCTGGAAATGATTCCCAAAGTCTACGATGATGCATGCAAGAGCCTAGAATTCTATCTACGAGGCACAAAATCACAAAAGCACAGAGACAAAGACGGGGACAAAACGAGAAAAAATAGTGAACAGGTACTCACCGATGTCTGCTGAGGTGCCAAGGTGTGCTTGCTCATCACTATTGTGGTCGTTTTCAATTCGGAAGTGGGGGATTTTGGGGGAACTGAGTTCTCCATTGGGCCGTGGGCTAACGTTTCCACGGCTCGGACCACGTCCAACACCTATATAAAAATATTATCAAGTAGACTTACTCAGTAAGTGAAAATATAAGGTCTCCAAAAAGCATCTCGCAGAATGTTTCTCAGAGCACAAAGTCGTTAGGTTTGAAAATGGCAATCTCAGGGTGATACTGAACGTGACTTTGACCATGATCTACAATTTTTATTAAATGCAAACCCATATTTTTTATACCGGATTTGTAAAGAGCGATGAATTTTACGTTCAATAGTGTCCTTGCCTATGAGCTTGACAATGACTTTCAGGGACTAAACAGTGTAGAAGTGACAAAATATGGTGGTCAAGGATTCACCAGGACGTGAAATTACATTTCTGAAAGTAAGAATTTGATCTTCAAATGACCTTTATGGTCAGAGTTAAGGTTACGGCTAAGTACACGATCGTGATTTTGAAGGGGAAATGCTTCGCCTATTCCATTTCTGCGACAAAACTATGCGGTTTGCTTAAAAATTAAATTGACCTTCATATGAACTTGGTCACGTTTAAAGTCATTGACAGAGACATACTTGAACGTAAAACTCCTCGTCATTAGCATTTCTGATAACAAAAATGCCTCCCGTTGAAAAATTAATTCGAACCTTCAGGTTATTGGCATGAACAATCTTGGACGAATTCGTCACCTTTTACATTTCCGGAATAAAAAGTAGCGGTGTCATGTCAAAAATCAATTTGACCTTACATGATTTGGAAGGTCATGGTCAAGATCCTAGAATTTTCCGCTCTTCAGATTTTCAGTGTTAAAAATAGGGATTTCCGTTTAAAAAACCTTCTTTCTGTGAAACATTGTTTTAGAAATAATTTAGGAGTAGAAACCAACCTTATCGGCTGGCGAAGGGGGTTTGGCTTCTACTATAGAAAACTCCTCTTCGCTTTGATAAATCGGTTGCAGTCTTTTCTCTGCTTCTTCTTTCTCAAATTGCATTAGTTCGGACCTCAATTTTTGCTCCTGAAACAATTTTTAATTTTGATATACCAATTTGTCTAAAATTTGAGACACCCCAGTATGCCAGTCAGTCGGTTAGCATGGTCGACAACGTTCGCAATAGCGATACATAATATCATAGGAAAACGTCTGAGAAAAATAACGTACTGCTTTCTTTAGCAATAAATATTATTCCTGGACTATTTTGGATTGGAATGCCGATAGTATACGGCCTTTCTAAGTACTTGGATCATACTCCATAGGCTGACATTTTTGTAATATAAATGTTAGTAATGACAAACGCATTTTTCTATGATAATTTCCGCGTCAGAAACAGTTTTCATTTTTTGATATGTCAACTTCTCTAAAATTTGTGGTTATCACGTACACTCAGTATTTTTTCGCGCGACTGCATATATTGAAAATATATATCTGAAATAGCTCAGGAAAATTAGACTATTGATGGTAAAAAATCACGATTGCCTTTTTTGCAAAAAATCTCATCTCTGGACTACTTCAAATCGGAATTCCGGCCGCATACGGAATCTAAGTATTCTCACAATCCCCGTTGAATTTGAGGCTCCTCAGCACGCCCAACATTTTTAGCACGGCTGCATACGTTGAAAACTTCGATCTGGAATAGCTCAGGAAAGATAGACTGTTTTTGGTAAAAAATCACAACCAGCTAATGTTGGAAGAGAATCAGTATTCCTGGGCTACTTCGCATTGAAATTCTGACTGTATACGGTGAGTTTAAATATTCTCACAATCCCTTGGACAAAAATATTTTTATGAGAATTTTTGCTTCTAGAACAATTCACAAATTTTGATATAGTAACTTCTTTAAAATTAGAAGCTTCCCGGCAAGCCAAAAATTCGGATTTGAAATAGCTTAGGAAAATTAGACTATTTGAGATAAAAAATCGCAACTAGCCTTTTTTTCAAAAAAAAATCATTATTCCTGGACCATTTCGCATCGAAATTCCGACCATATGCAAGTATTTTCACAACTGGATGATAATCCATAGCTTGATAAATGTTTGTAATATAAATGTCAGTAACAATAACATTTGTTTAAGAGAATTTTTGCTTCTAAACATCTCGCTTTTTTTATATAGCAACAAGTTCTTTAAAATTTGAGGCTCCCCAGCATGCCCTAAATTAGACTGCCTCTGCTAAAAAACACGACCGACATTTTTTTGTTAAAAATCTTCTGGACTATTTGAAGTTGAAATGCCAACGGTATAAGGCGGAACTAAGTATCCATATGTTTGTATTTTAAATACAGTAGACCCCGATTATCCGAATCGCGATTATCCGAAATCCACTTTATCCGAAACAGATCGCATACAATAATTTCTCCGTTTTAACCGAAGTTGTTCGGTAAATCAGCGCATGATCCGAAATAGCCGCCGGTAGTTCCCCTTTCGGCGTTTGCGTAATTAGATTCCCCAAGCGCGTTTGCGGAATTCACTGGTATGTGTGCGTGTATGTTTCTTTCAGTCAGGTTCATAATCGCTAAGATGGAGCAGCATAGAAACGTAAACGCGTTGTTATTACCATAGAACAGAAACTTGAGGCAATCAGACGTTTAGATAGAAGTGATTTGCTTAAAAACGTGGCAAGTCCTTTGGCTGTGGGCGTGAGAACCATTTCAGAATGGAAAAAACAACGCAAGAAAATTGAAATGTGGTCTAGTGTTCTGACATCATCGCAGCCGTCACGGAAAACTATGAGTAAGGGGGAATATCAAAAAATTCTAAAGCAAAAGGCAGTCAACTTAAGTGAAGAATTGTCAGTTATTGAGGCGCCTGATAACTTTACAGCCAGTTATGGTTGGCTGCATAGATGGAAAAAACGACACGGTATACGAGAATTAGAAGTTTGCGTAGAAAAGTTATCTGCTGATAAGTCCGCTGCATTAAAATTTGGAGAACGAAAGAATTTATGAAGCAGTATGGTTTAAATCCAGAACACATTTACAACTGCGACTAAACGGGCCTAAACTATAAAATGTTACCGGCGAAAAGTTTAGCTTCAAAACAAGAATCTGGAACTCACAAATGCAGTAAAGAACGTGTGACTATCCTTGCTTTATGCAATGCTTCCGGTACACACAAACTTCCTTTGTTGATAATCGGAAAATCAGCTAAGTCATGAGCATTTAAACGCTGTTCCTCTGTGGTATACAAATCAAAAAATGCCTGGATGGATGCCGCTCTATTTAAGGACTGGTTTTACAATCATTTTGTTCCCAAGACAGAACAATATTTGATTGAACGCAGATATCAGAGAAAATGTATTTTGCTATTAGACAATGCTCTGAGCCACCCAAGTGAGGAGCAACTTAAAAGTGGAGACGTTTGTTATTTTAGATCAAGTTGATATTGGTTGTAACCTCGTTGATTATTTAAAAGAGATTAACCTCAAGAATGTGGCATATTGGATAGCAGAAGCATGGAGCCAAGTAAAAAATTCTACCTTACAAAAATCTTGGTCGACAATAATTGAGCAAGAAATGGGTCCTTGCGCAGACTATGAGAGTAACAACGAAAATTTACATGAGCTCGTCGTAAAAATAGCAGGGTGTGAAAATCTTACCCAAGCAGATGTTGGTGAGTGGATTACTGGTGATGAATTGGCGGAAGAATTAACTGATACAGAACTAATAAAAATGAGATAGAAATCTCTACAAAAATATCACATTCTGAGGGAAGACGATTTACAAAAGGCGTTTACTTATGTCGAACAACAAGAAAATGCGACAGTAGCTGATCTGCTACTTATCCAACGTTGGAGGGATATTGCTGCCAAAAATAGGGATACAAAACGTGTACAGTTAAAAATTACTTCCTTTGTTACTAAATACTCGTAAATATGTATTGTATCCACATGTTTATATTTTACGTAACTTTATAAAGGTATATACTCACTTAACACACGCATTTACATTTTTCAATAAAAGCCCCATGAGTCAAGATATTTATTTCCGTTCTATCGGAAATTTCGATTATCTGAAAGCACTTGGATCCACATTATTTCGGATAATCGCGGTTCTACGTGCACGTAACAACAAAAATATTCATTAATTACTTATTTTACCTGTTGGCTGTCTTCATCAGGAACATCTAAAGAACTAACGCTTTGCGATCTACTACTTATAGATCCACCTCTGGTCAATCTGCCTTCTGCAACTGCTTTGTCTACTTCTCCTCTATCGTAACCTTTGCAGACAACAAGTTGTATTCTATTCCCGCAAGCTCTGAGAGCATTGACAGCCTCTTGATGCGTGGCACCTGGAAAAAAATAAAATTGGTTTGGTCACTAGAAGTTTCACTTTACAAAAATTTTGCTCGCATATCTGGACAAATGTGTGAACAGTTCTGAGATTTTAAAAAGTACATGCATTAGTTGTGTAAAAAGTTCTGAGATTTAAGACACGCATAAGTTCTTTGTCAAATAACCTTAATGCAACAGTGCGAAAGAAAAAGCTGTAGGGTTGACGTTGATACCTAATACCCACCTAATAAAGATTTTCCGTTGACTTCCAATAATCTCATGCCAGCTTTGAGTCTTCCATCTCGTCTTGCAGCTCCAACTGAGTTAATTTTGGAGACAAAGACACCCTCATCTGATCTATCTAGAGGGTTCCCTCTCTGACCTTGGAGACCGCCCTTTATATGCATACCAAGTTTCTCATTTTCTCCTTTTTCGATAATCAAATCCTGAAAAGAAACACGAAAAAATCAGGACTGGCACTTACTTTTTTGTTTAGTATGCTACCCAAATACAATAAACTCCATTACAACACTATACCTTTAGGGGTCTCCAGATATATAAAGATCAGGTTATGCGAGTAGGTACAGTTCACGACAAACTTATAATGTCTGTTTTATATGCGACTGATTTTAGAATCAATACATTCATTATATGTAACTATTAGTGCTTTTCACGTCATTGCACACTGCTCAAATTGTATAATTTATACAGATGAACCAGCTTTCATCATTATTTAGACCTGTATCGTGCGATGACCATACTAGACGCTTGTCGGTACCGTAAAGGAACAAAAAAATGAAAACAGACGAGACAAATCTGTCGTGAACTATAAAAAAGTGAGCGCTCTAGCTTTTGCTTGCTAACACAATATCAGTAGGTGTACTTAGTGATTGAAGCTGGTTGTTATTATTATCCCCAAAGTTGGAGTTTTCCTTTACACGACGTGCAGATCTTGAGAAAATAAGCGGGTTTTCATAGTAGCATACACACCAATGTCTTAACGGGGCTCCTACAATCACGAGCACCATCTGCTGAGGTAACGGGGGTTGAAAAGGAAACGAGGGTGGGCTGGCCCTAGACGGTCGTCGGCGCTACTTTAAAAGAGGAAAGGATGACTGCAGGTGCATACCAAGATCAATTTTTATAATAACAGAGTCGGATTTCGATTAGCGATCTAGCCTGTAAATCCTTTTTCTCCTCTTGTTACTGTTTGTCGATATTGTGTTGTTGAATTGTTGTGCTGTACTCTTGTTGGTAGGATTGTTCCTGAGTGCCTTTTTTATCAAGGTTGATAATGGACAATAAAAGGTCATATGCGACCATTTTAATTACGAATGCAGTGAGTTTAATTCATGATGAGGTCAACAATAGTGTGGAGCAGTTCAACTTTATAATCGCAAAATACATTGGGGATTAAGCGAATAAATTGCAAAAGAGACCTTGCTTATAGCTAAGATGGAACAAATACTCAAGCGCAAGAATCTTGAAAAGAAACTCAGGCCAAAAAAAGCTGATATAAAAATAACTAACAATTCGGATAGCAATTCCAAAGAAAATGAATAGTTTTATGGCGAATTCTGTAAAAAACCTGACATGAACGATATTGATTTGGAGGTTGCTAAGCAAGAATTTTCAGGGAAACTCAAAAAAGGGACGACGAGATTTTGCAGATCGAACAAGTCACCAAATCACAGGACTGTGCTTTGTGGCGCCTTCATCGGAGGATAAGGTTGACATCGTCTCGATTTGGTGAAGTTTGTAGAAGAAGGCAGACAACAAGCTGTAAAGTTCTCGTAAACTCCATCATATACCCAACAGAGTTTTCTAGTAAGGCAATAAAAAAGGCAATACAAAAATCATTGGACACCGCAGTTCAATCTGGTGGTTTATTTATTGATCGCACACATCCATTTCTGGCAGCATCGCCTCTATTACAGTAGACAAGAAATGTACTTAATCCAGGTATAAGCCTTTGCAAAAACTACCTAACTGTTTCCTCTTATTTTACTGGCATAAGATATTTTTATGACCCTCGTTCAATTGTTACCATGTACCACATGATCCTTGTAAACATAATTGTGCTTATTGACATGAATAAACGAATTTGAATTTGAGTTCTTGATTTTATTTTACTAAAGATATCAAATTATTTGAATACATTTTTTCTTAGTCCGAACGCACCGTCGCGTCGCTTGGACTGGCAGAATGAAACAGTAGACGAATTTCGCCCAAAAACCGATTTGCATTTCACAGCTTACGTTTAATTTTTTATTATTTCCAAATGAAACTCTTGCAGAGTGCTAACAACAAAGTCCATAGGGTGCTAACGATCCACTTTTTCGATTTTATCCACTAGGATCTTTTTAAAATATCAAGAAGTTGAGCACAAATAGTAAGCACCCACCATAATTCTTAAATTTCCTGTAACCACTGGGACCAGAAGCTTCTTAATAATAGAACGTATTTCACTGATAACAAAGATGCAACATTTAAAATTATCTTCACCCAACCCCCACTTTTTAAGCAGTTCAATTTTTTATGTCAATGATAAGGAACCCCTGTAACGTCAAAAACGGAGTTTCAGCAATTGTTACTTTTTCTTTTTTGCCTATAGCACCCTTGCCATTTGACTAAAACTACAACGCTTTGGAAGACTAGTAACCCCGTGTGGAAATTTCATAAAAATCCGAGCGGTAATTTCCAAGTTGATGATGAGTGATATAGTTTTTCGTGATGTAGATATCATATGACTTAAAAAACATAACATCTCACTTTAGAAATTTATCGCGATTACAATACTTCCTCGCCACTGGCGTGGGAAGTAAAACGGCTTTAAAATCAAGGAGTATCAGCGATCGCGATTATGAGTACCTATTTGTAGACCGACCTATCTATGCGATACTATATGAAATAGGGCCACCAAATTATCTGAATACGTCCTTTCTTAGTCCGTACATTGCGCCGCAACGCTTGGGTTGGCAGCACGAAACAGTAGACAAAATTCGTCCAAAATACGATTTGTAGAGGTTTGGGCGCTTCGAAATTGACGCTTTATTTTTTGATATTTTTGAATGAAATTTTCATAGTGTGCTGAAAACAAAACCCCACAGGGTGCTATAGAGCCACTTTTTCATTTTTTTCACTAGATTCTTTTTAAAAAAATCGCGAAGTTGAACAGAAAAAGTGCGCACTTCAACCCATCATAAAACTTGTGCAAAAACAAAATTTCAAAAAGCGCTCCTATAAAACCCTGGGGAATTATCTTCTGAACATACTGTATGAATTTCATTCAAAAATATTGAAAAATGGAGTGTCAGTTTCGAAGCAGCTGAACCCTTGTAAATGGCTTGAAACTCACTGCGTCGGAGCCGCCTTAAGAGAACCGAGATATTGGGCTCCGCAAACTCAATCAAACCTGAACCAAACCGAAGCCGGTCCTGTCGTATCCCTCGATCACGTCTACAGCGTCAGTGTGAGCGTACAGTTATACGACGTATGACTACAATGTAAATACTGATTTTACGACAGGTCCGTACTTGGAATTTCAATTCAACTGAACATTGAGTACTTTTTCATTCATTTTTTTTACTTCACGTTTCATCACACATTAGCTTTGTTATATCAAATGAAGTTGTATCTGAAAAGGAAAACCCCAACTTTGCGGACACCCTGTATACTTGTAGCTACGTTAAAGTAGAAAGACTAAAGAAAGAACAAACTGAAACATGCAGACAAATCATGCTATTTTGGACAAGCTATTTTCCAGCATACTACAAACATTTTTTCAAGTCAACGATCTGGATGTAATATAAAAAAATCTCGGTGATCAGAGAAACCTCATAAAAAAACTGTAAGATGTAACTTTCGGTAAAAAAAAAAGATCTGATATTGCAGGTAGCAGTAGCCATATTGTTATTGAAAGAGATGAGGCATCGCTAACAACCTATCAAATCAGAACGACTACATCAATTAATTTTTTATTTAAAATAGTATCTCGTATAGCCAATCAAAAATCAATGCAGGGTGATTTCCTCCAATTAGATACTTACCATAGGGTGAACATAGGATACCATGAGTTGCTTGCAAGGAAAACACAAATTTTGAGATATTGCGTAATTGAATATTAAAATACCACTAAAATGTCTCTATAATATTTTCAATACTATCACCATCAAGTTTTTAATATTCCCTTTAACTACACTAGAATTATTTGCTTGAAAACTAAAGCAGCTGGGCTTCCTTCTGTGACTTTACCGATTTTTTTATTCTAAGGCGCTTTTATTAGCTTGATCTGTAGGTATGTATGTAACATAAATTTCACCAGTTTTAAGAAGTCTGATTAACTTGGCCCGATGACAACACAATAATCTTGGGAAACATTTCATGACAATTAAAAAAATTCTAAATTTGTAAAAAAAATGGATTCAAACATTTGGAAAATGATTGGAAAATTGGGAAACTTTGAAATTCTTTTAGAAGTTTCGAAATTTGAAATACTTTGGTTGTAAATTTAGATTTATTGTCAAATATAAAATATACCAAAAATCGAGGCTCTTGATTGAGAGTATTTTTGTAGTCGTTTTGAGACTAGAAATTCAGGAAATAAATTATAGTTTAAAAAAACTAAAAAACATGCTTCAACAGCAAATCGAACTAAGAAGTACAAAATAACTTTCAAGTATAAGAGAGTTTTGTGTTACTGTGAAAGAAAGTCCAACAATCAAGTATAATTAATCACTTTGGAATAAGATCAATATAAAAATTTGGCTTTTATTTTTCAAACTATAATTTATTTGGAAAGCCAGTTTGTATCAGCAAAAATCAGGTTTCAAAATAGTTGTAACATGCTTGAAAATGAGCGTGTTAACAAGTAAAAACATTAAATACTTATGTACCTAGGGCGTGATGATGGCGTTATGGCCCGAGGCGTGAAGTTAAAGCCCTTAGGTGCAAAGTTCCACGGGTTTTAACACACCAAGAAACATACGTTTATTACACCCGTCATATGTACAAAATTTCATCTACCGATAAGCAAAAATAGATTGGTCTGCGCGTACATTAAAATAAATAAATTGATCATAGTATCATAGTAAGAAATGGACAGTTTTCAGTCGATGAGACTGAAAACTGAAAACAGCGGGAGCTCAAAGTTAGCTTAACGCCTGAGAGCGTAAATAAGCCCATGGGAAATATCTAAAAAATGCGTAGGAATTTACGCATCCACTAGTAAAATGGCAAAAAAGCTATTATTAAATGGTGAAATGCTTATTATAGTGGTAGTGGGTAGTGCAAGTGTCACAAGAAAATGTGAGAATTATTGTGCATCACAAATTAAAAAAGCCTCAAGTTTTTATAACACATTGAATGACAGTTGAAGGCAAAAGATACCTACTTGGTAGCCATCAGGTAAAGGATCGTGTCGAATAGTGAGTGTGATATGGTCTCCAGGTCTCAAAAGTTCCATGACTGCCTCCTGGTGAGTGGCATGCGTAACATCGGTGCCGTTGACTTTCAGGATTCGATCGCCTACCCTTAGTTTACCGCTCTTGGCTGCTGTACCACCAGGTACCATCTAAAACAAATACGCAAGTTTGGTAAATCCTTACTAATATCATAAGCGAGAAAGGGTTAATATTTGTTACTCAATCACGCCAATATGTCTGAATGGATCTGAATGAAATGTGTATTTTATTACCTGTATAAATAATCTGTTATAGCACGTAGGCTACTTTTTATCCCGGAAAATATCTTTGAAATATCTATTTCACGGGCTACATGTATAGGTCATCGCTTTCAAAACACTGTACTGCACCTTGACGAACAAGAAGCGCTCATCCGGTTTCGATGGATGGCCGAGTTCTATCAAAGAGCTGTGCATTTTGGATGGTAAGAATCCAGATTACCGAGACTTGATCAGACACATCTTATCAATCGCGGCAGCTGCTGGAAAAAAGCTAGGCTTTTTTCTTAGGGATAAGAAGTATTTTTCTCCACATAACCTCCTCACTCTGTACAATGCCCAGATAAAGCCTAGCCTTGACTACTGCTCACATGCTCGATGCTGTTCAGAAGATGGCTGTCCGACTGAGCGATAACCCTTCTTTAACGGACAGTCTCGGCACACTTTCGCACCGACGGCCGTCGGCGATTTAGCTCTCTTCTACTGCTATGTCAACTGGCTTTGCTCTTCGGAACTTTCCTCCATGATGCCGCCGCGCGATGAACCTGTCAGACATACCCGCCTTTTTTCAACCTCCCCTCCTAACCGTGTTCAGTCTCGTATGTACAAAACTGGCCGGTACGACCGCTCTTTTGTCCCTAAGGTGTCAAGATTATGGAACAATCTGCCTGAGAAGCCTTTTTCCAGTTCTACTAACCGTAGACAGTTCAAAAACCGCATTAAGCTCCTTATAGTAGCCCCGGTGCACCGACATTTATTCCTCTTTCTATGTGGCTGCTTGTGTATAAAACAACATCTGCATATGGTCACCAGAATCGACGGCATTAAGCGGTCAGAGTTGCGTCTTGGCTGTCGACGCGAATTGAGATACATTACATTTTCACTTGTTTCTTGCCTGTTACTGTACTAAAAGCACGCGAACGGTTGGGTAACACAGTTTCTCCGCAAATGCTTTCTTACGTCAGTGTATACAAATGGCAAAAAGCAATTAGCGTCTGAGGTTTCTCGCAATCTTCAAGATATTCGCGAATTTAACGTCAAGCAACCTTTAAATTAAATTAAGTTCAAACTTGAAACGTATAATTATAAACTATTACAAAGTTATTTACTCGCCGGGTTCCACAGGAGTAATTTTCTCCTTTAGAGTTTTGAAATTTAAATTACTTGGTGGATATTTTTATAAGTTTGCAAGCTAGTTTGTGTTATCGACAGTAAATATAGTGTTCGGGTATAACATCGCAGGTACTTTTAATACGAAAAAAATGTCAATTAGGTTAACTCTGCACTTACCACGCAACGATGCCATCAGTTTTTGAAGGATTATTATAAGAAAAAAGTTACCTACGAACTTGTATAACATAAAAAATAAATATTATAAATCAAGTCAGCCAAACAGGCCTATAAAATTGGTCCATATTCCCACCCATTTGATAACGCTGTGATATAGAAACTTCTTCCCTGCTCTTACTGAAAGTATCGATCATCTGGCAACGTCGCCATGCAATGCTGGCCAGCTCGAGCAGTGTGGCGACGAGAGATAAGGCGCCAGATGCAGATATGATTTTATGAGCACCGGGTTAAATTCGTAGCGTACAGCAAGTGCGACCTAGACGCGACACGGCTATTTGATATCTCTAAGAGAAAATGTACGGGGAAATATACGCTGTATGATATACGTACTAATAGGTACGTAGAATTAGCCGGCTTAGAAGCCTATATATATATACTATCGACAAAAAATTGTTTACGAAATTTTTCGCGAGTACAATACTTCCTCGCAAGTAGGCGTGGGAGATAAAATGGTGAAACAAAATACTTACATGTGAAATAAAAATGCCAGGTTCCTTGGCCCCAAAGGGAATACTTGAATGGTCCGTGCCTCCAATAATACTGAATCCTAAAGAACCCTCTAGCTTGCTCAACGTAACATCCTGTAATCAAAGAAAATATATGTTTCTGTAAACAACAAGTGTAAGGATTTATTAACGTATTCTACCTGAAGATAGCCGAACTAATGCTATGTTCCCGCCTGTAAAACATCGCCCGAGATAAAATGAGATATCGTAGCGTCATGTATGTGAATTTGTCACAGCTGCTTCTCTATTTACTATATATATTTTGAAAAGGTTAGTGTTTCATAGATATGCGCTGTCTATATGAGCACCTACTTGCTTTTTCAGGACGTGCTGGAAGAATATTGCGTGATCTACAAAACTCATTACAATATCAATAAAAAACTTCTCACGTCGTTGAAATCTTGTTTTAGGACAAGCGATCTCAAAAAACATCAATTAAACGTGAAAACAATAAATTCACAGGTTCCCTCTTTTTCTTTTGCATGTGTATATGTGTATAAAAATTCGTAATTTATATCATGCTTTACCTTGCTCTATGTCATAAATATAAGCTACATTGGATTTTATTTTCTTTTTGTTCTTCTCATGTCACCGTATACTATGTATACCTTTCCGCACTAGTGGTTAAGTGTAAGAATAGCCTACGGCTAAACTTAGCCACTAGTGTTAGATCTGATGTACCTGTGTATACTCAATAAAGACGAGTTTATTATTATTATTACTATAAGAAAAACTAATAATTGTTAAAATTCATTAATGCAGATTCAAATATTATTTAGTGACCTGTGAATTTGTTGTATTGATATTTTAATGAATTTTGTAGTTCGTGCAACATCCTTGGAGCGCATGAAATTCTCATAGATGACGCCACGATATCTCATTATATTCCTGATAATTATGGACGCGCATTAGTTTGACTATCTTCTGAAGAATACGTTAATAATTTTCATCATACAGTGAAGTATCTGGACGAAGGCAGTAAAGCTAAATAAACAAATGGAGGCTGACATTTTGCAAAACTTTGATAGGTCCTTTAACCCTATGTTGGCAACATTTAACAAAAATGGACCCCAAGATAACCCACTGTTCAACAATGATGAAAACATAACAACGAAATTGTTTCTCAAAGAATCGGGTTTCCATTCTTCACAAACCATAAAAAATTATAAAATATCCACGCAAATTGCCAGCGTTTTGAGGATTAGCGAACAAACTTGAGATAAACGAAAAATGGGCGAACCCGCATTTCCTCCATTACGCAGCAGCTGCCAACCAACTTTCAGGATCGACTGTTAGAGGAAAATTTAATTCTACCCACGCCACTGTTACTTTGATGTTTCAAGCTCCTTGACGCTACATCTGGCGGCGTTGATGTGAAACAAATCAGTTTGTTAAGGTATCCCCAAGAGATTTCTGGTTGCACCACGCTGCCTCGTGGGCACTTACCATGGTAGGACATTGACCCGTGTACGCAACAACGAGTATGTTTAGTAAACAACAACTTGAGAAAAAGGAAAAATGGGCCTAAGCGGGATTCGAACCAGCATCTCATCCATTCCTCGCAAAGTGGTACCGTGGTAAGTGCCCACGAGGCCATCTTCAGGTAGAATACCGTAATTAATGGTACTATTCTTGTTCACCTATGCTTTGAAATCTCTCTACTCTAAATTTCAAATCTTAGAACGGGCCATTAGAACTTTTATATATCCACTTTGATTGGTACCTAGAAGTACATGCAAAATATCAGCCATCATCTAAATGAGTGTATTTCCTAACCACAGGTATATTAATGGATAATAATTATCATGTCATAATTTGCTTGGTAATCGTTTTGATATACGAGGCATTGTGAGAGACTTCCTAGTTGTAAGGACAATGCTTCAACGATCGATTTTCACTTTCCAATCGTTCTATTATGATGGCTCTCGATATCATAAAACATAAAACACACTGACTAGCATTCAATAGAGCGATTGTTACAATATTTATTGTGCACGTCTCAAAGACAAGCAGGCTGTGTTTGAATTTATGTCTAGTACCACTCTAGTACCAGTATGACTGAATTTATAACGGAATACGTTGAAAGATGTTTAGTTCCATACAGTGCTTTTCAAAAAGATCTCCCTGCTTATTTTTCTGGGTAGTCAAGGTTGAGCGTTTTTGTACATTGAATCTTTTATTACCTGATAACTAATTATTAAGGTCGTATGTCCCTTTTTTAATTATCCTGAGCAGTATTCTAAATCATTTCCATCCGATAATTTCGTGGTGTCTACAGAAATGACTAAAAAACAATTTTATAATTTGTTTTCTAAAAAATGCACTTTTTGTGCATTGTGCATTTTTTCTTCAATCGTAACTTGTTGACAAATATTAGTATAGCTCTGAAATTGTAAGTCAAAATTCTAATTTTATAATGGAAGTGAGCGGGTGATTACTTTTATTCGTATCACTTTTTCTCTTCGAAAAATCTTTGATTTTCTTGAAACTTCATTTTGCAGCAATTTGAGTTTTCAAGAAAAGCAAAGATATTTTGGAGAGCGCTAAGTTATGCCATGAAAGTGAAATATTCATACATAATTTTAGAGCTGTACTATTATTTGTTAATAAGCTACGGTTGACGAAAAAATACATAAAAAGCAAAAAAATATACATACCATGAATCAGACCAAAAGTGTTAAGAATACTCCTACAGATAGGCAGTCAAGGAAAAAGGCAAGCGACGTTAAAACGTTGTATCAATCTTTTACACTTGGAAAGATATATCTGTATATCTAAAAAAATATCAACATTCCACTTAGACTCTTGCAAAATAATGAAGATTGATGTAACATACTACAGTTGTCACGTGCCAAAATCACGTAGCCTGTTTTTACTAGTAAGTGATCAAAATAGTAAATTATGAAATTTATCAAAAGTGATATACCCTCAGAAATTTATCCCTTGTTCAAAAAAAAAGTTATGGCAGATCAAAAATCAAAATCATGATCAACGTAATGTAATGCCCACTAGAAGGTGCTATATTTATTGTACATTAAAAAATAAATATAAAACACGTTTTTAGAAACAAACTTTTAGTTGGTTGTTGATAAAATGGAAAAATTAAAAATATTTTTTTCAATTGAAAATGACTAAATGATAATAAAGCTCCTTTATCTGAAGTTTCCAAATAAAAACGTGTTACAACCTTTTTCCATCCTTCTGTCAAAACGTAAAAAGCTATTATTTAAAAAATGAGGAAAAAATATTTAAAATGTTTAGTTCACTTTATTATCAGCTTAATTAGTTTTTTTAGAAACTTATGTTTTCATTAATTTATTTTTTCCTTATTAGTATTTAGGATATCAAATAACTAGTTTGGCAATTTTTAGACACTTTTCATATATTTCATTAATTTTACTCCATAAAATCTCTTACTTTATTTGTATTATAATATTTCAATAGGTATAAATCATATAATAAATCGAGATTTTGGGCGATCACCATATGGAATTCAAAATGACGTTATTTGCTTATTGGAAATTATAACTCGCTATTTAGCGAAGGCCGCCATATTGTATCTATAATGACGTCACGTTGATTGTTCTGTTCCTCTGATAAAGTTCTTTAATTTGATAACTATATTATAAGGGTGTCTATGGTAATTAAAAAGGCCATTTTGTTGCGGTCGCCTATATTAGATTAGGCATGACGTCACTTTGTTTATTGTGTTTCTCTCATCAAGCCATTTCATTCGATACCCATATCATAGTGGTTAGTATAGAAATGATGAATCCCCATTTTGTTTCATTCAAATTGGCGGCGGTTAATACATTTTGTATTGTCATGGATGTGTAGATACGAAATTTTAGCTCGATTGGTTAAGGTTAACTGGTACAAAATTCAGTTACACGCACATACAGACAGATCAAGTTACATAAAAACTTGGAAAAACGCTCAACTTTGACAGTCCGCCATTATTGAAGATAGTAAATTTATACTTTACGGTTGTAAAGTCCTGACAATGTCAATCACAGATACTTTTATGAAAACAAAAAGCCTCTCCTCTAGATAAGCCGCTTCAAGCTTAGTATAGCTGTGAAAGCAGCTTGAAAGCAAATATTAGCTAAATAAGCTTGAATACTCGAAAAACCATAGTCTAGTATCAAGGATCACTAACTTAGAATTAAAATAAGTAGTTTTTGCTAATCAATATAGCCATTACTGCCGAGTGATAATGTTGTGCTTTTAATGGAGCGTTAAATCCATTACAGCTGAGTGGTAAATACTCTCGAAAATGTATACTTTATAAAATGTACACAGGGTATATAAAAAACAATGGCTGTGTTTCTAGGGCAGAAAGTATGTTAAGAATCACAAAAAAGTTCTTATAAACCTAGATCCTAAAACGTAAATCTAATATGATAAGGAGTGTTACAAATTTTTACGTACTTGGCGTTATTGATTGGGGTAGAACATGAATATTTTGCAAACTTCAGTGAAATTAACTTGTCAAACAGTCTTTTTAGACAGATGTTACCTTGAATATTTAAAAGAGTTACCCCTGTTTTTGCGCATTGGTTTCCGACCTTAAGAATAAACGTAAACGAGGGTTTCACAGAAAATGTTAAAAAATTATACCTATTTATGGGTTGAAATGACCTCAAAATCTAATAACTGTAATGAATAAAAACGCGTCGTTCGGAACTATTCCAGAGTGCCTCAAAAGGGGTGAAAAAACAGAAAAAAGCTGCAACGTTTGAGTTCCGACATACAGTGGACCCTCGATAATCCGGCCCCTGTATAATCCGGCGCCCCCTGTAATCCGACATGTCTTTGAATATTACATACATACGTATTTGGCAATCTTCGCTAATGTAGATCACGCAGGTTTGAACAGGTTCAACTTGTACGCGCCACCGCTATCGTACTCGACGCGTAAGCATTGTTTTACTTAGTTTGAATTTGACTACTTGTGATAGCGGTACGGCCTAGCGTGCGTTCATTGTTTACTATTAATTCATTATGTATTAAGTATAGTACCTAGTAATATCATCACAAACTCAAAAGCGAAAGCACAAAACATTGACAATTAA